ACTGGTTACACTAGCCCACACACTGGTTACACTAGCCCACACACTTGCCCACACACTGGTTACACTAGCCCACACACTGGTTACACTAGCCCACACACTGGTTACACTAGCCCACACACTTGCCCACACACTGGTTACACTAGCCCACACACTGGTTACACTAGCCCACACACTTGCCCACACACTAGCCCACACACTGGTTACACTAGCCCACACACTGGTTACACTAGCCCACACACTGGTTACACTAGCCCACACACTGGTTACACTAGCCCACACACTGGTTACACTAGCCCACACACTTGCCCACACACTGGTTACACTAGCCCACACACTGGTTACACTAGCCCACACACTAGCCCACACACTGGCTACACTAGCCCACACACTAGCCCACACACTGGTTACACTAGCCCACACACTAGCCCACACACTGGCTACACTAGCCCACACACTGGTTACACTAGCCCACACACTGGTTACACTAGCCCACACACTGGTTACACTAGCCCACACACTTGCCCACACACTGGTTACACTAGCCCACACACTGGTTACACTAGCCCACACACTAGCCCACACACTGGCTACACTAGCCCACACACTTGCCCACACACTGGTTACACTAGCCCACACACTGGTTACACTAGCCCACACACTGGTTACACTAGCCCACACACTAGCCCACACACTGGCTACACTAGCCCACACACTTGCCCACACACTGGTTACACTAGCCCACACACTGGTTACACTAGCCCACACACTAGCCCACACACTGGCTACACTAGCCCACACACTTGCCCACACACTGGTTACACTAGCCCACACACTTGCCCACACACTGGTTACACTAGCCCACACACTGGTTACACTAGCCCACACACTGGTTACACTAGCCCACACACTAGCCCACACACTGGTTACACTAGCCCACACACTAGCCCACACACTGGTTACACTAGCCCACACACTAGCCCACACACTGGTTACACTAGCCCACACACTGGTTACACTAGCCCACACACTAGCCCACACACTAGCCCACACACTAGCCCACACACTGGTTACACTAGCCCACACACTGGTTACACTAGCCCACACACTTGCCCACACACTGGTTACACTAGCCCACACACTGGTTACACTAGCCCACACACTGGTTACACTAGCCCACACACTGGTTACACTAGCCCACACACTGGTTACACTAGCCCACACACTTGCCCACACACTGGTTACACTAGCCCACACACTGGTTACACTAGCCCACACACTGGTTACACTAGTCCACACACTAGCCCACACACTGGTTGCACTAGCCCACACACTGGTTACACTAGCCCACACACTGGTTACACTAGCCCACACACTGGTTACACTAGCCCACACACTAGCCCACACACTTGCCCACACACTGGTTACACTAGCCCACACACTGGTTACACTAGCCCACACACTGGTTACACTAGCCCACACACTGGTTACACTAGCCCACACACTAGCCCACACACTTGCCCACACACTGGTTACACTAGCCCACACACTGGTTACACTAGCCCACACACTTGCCCACACACTGGTTACACTAGCCCACACACTGGTTACACTAGCCCACACACTGGTTACACTAGCCCACACACTTGCCCACACACTGGTTACACTAGCCCACACACTGGTTACACTAGCCCACACACTTGCCCACACACTAGCCCACACACTGGTTACACTAGCCCACACACTGGTTACACTAGCCCACACACTGGTTACACTAGCCCACACACTGGTTACACTAGCCCACACACTGGTTACACTAGCCCACACACTTGCCCACACACTGGTTACACTAGCCCACACACTGGTTACACTAGCCCACACACTAGCCCACACACTGGCTACACTAGCCCACACACTAGCCCACACACTGGTTACACTAGCCCACACACTAGCCCACACACTGGCTACACTAGCCCACACACTGGTTACACTAGCCCACACACTGGTTACACTAGCCCACACACTGGTTACACTAGCCCACACACTTGCCCACACACTGGTTACACTAGCCCACACACTGGTTACACTAGCCCACACACTAGCCCACACACTGGCTACACTAGCCCACACACTTGCCCACACACTGGTTACACTAGCCCACACACTGGTTACACTAGCCCACACACTGGTTACACTAGCCCACACACTAGCCCACACACTGGCTACACTAGCCCACACACTTGCCCACACACTGGTTACACTAGCCCACACACTGGTTACACTAGCCCACACACTAGCCCACACACTGGCTACACTAGCCCACACACTTGCCCACACACTGGTTACACTAGCCCACACACTGGTTACACTAGCCCACACACTAGCCCACACACTGGTTACACTAGCCCACACACTAGCCCACACACTGGCTACACTAGCCCACACACTTGCCCACACACTGGTTACACTAGCCCACACACTGGTTACACTAGCCCACACACTGGTTACACTAGCCCACACACTAGCCCACACACTGGTTACACTAGCCCACACACTTGCCCACACACTGGTTACACTAGCCCACACACTGGTTACACTAGCCCACACACTAGCCCACACACTGGCTACACTAGCCCACACACTAGCCCACACACTGGTTACACTAGCCCACACACTGGTTACACTAGCCCACACACTAGCCCACACAATGGTTACACTAGCCCACACACTAGCCCACACACTGGTTACACTAGCCCACACACTAGCCCACACACTAGCCCACACACTAGCCCACACACTGGTTGCACTAGCCCACACACTAGCCCACACACTGGTTACACTAGCCCACACACTAGCCCACACACTAGCCCACACACTAGCCCACACACTAGCCCACACACTGGTTACACTAGCCCACACACTGGTTACACTAGCCCACACACTAGCCCACACACTGGTTACACTAGCCCACACACTGGTTACACTAGCCCACACACTGGTTACACTAGCCCACACACTGGTTACACTAGCCCACACACTAGCCCACACACTAGCCCACACACTAGCCCACACACTGGTTACACTAGCCCACACACTGGTTACACTAGCCCACACACTGGTTACACTAGCCCACACACTGGTTACACTAGCCCACACACTGGTTACACTAGCCCACACACTGGTTACACTAGCCCACACACTGGTTACACTAGCCCACACACTAGCCCACACACTGGTTACACTAGCCCACACACTGGCTACACACTGGTTACACTAGCCCACACACTGGTTACACTAGCCCACACACTGGTTACACTAGCCCACACACTGGTTACACTAGCCCACACACTGGTTACACTAGCCCACACACTAGCCCACACACTGGTTACACTAGCCCACACACTGGTTACACTAGCCCACACACTGGTTACACTAGCCCACACACTGGTTACACTAGCCCACACACTAGCCCACACACTAGCCCACACACTGGTTACACTAGCCCACACACTAGCCCACACACTGGTTACACTAGCCCACACACTAGCCCACACACTGGTTACACTAGCCCACACACTGGTTACACTAGCCCACACACTGGTTACACTAGCCCACACACTGGTTACACTAGCCCACACACTAGCCCACACACTGGTTACACTAGCCCACACACTGGTTACACTAGCCCACACACTGGTTACACTAGCCCACACACTGGTTACACTAGCCCACACACTTGCCCACACACTAGCCCACACACTGGTTACACTAGCCCACACACTGGTTACACTAGCCCACACACTAGCCCACACACTAGCCCACACACTGGTTACACTAGCCCACACACTGGTTACACTAGCCCACACACTAGCCCACACACTAGCCCACACACTAGCCCACACACTAGCCCACACACTGGTTACACTAGCCCACACACTGGTTACACTAGCCCACACACTGGTTACACTAGCCCACACACTAGCCCACACACTGGTTACACTAGCCCACACACTGGTTACACTAGCCCACACACTGGTTACACTAGCCCACACACTGGTTACACTAGCCCACACACTAGCTCACACACTGGTTACACTAGCCCACACACTGGTTACACTAGCCCACACACTGGTTACACTAGCCCACACACTGGTTACACTAGCCCACACACTGGTTACACTAGCCCACACACTAGCCCACACACTAGCCCACACACTAGCCCACACACTGGTTACACTAGCCCACACACTGGTTACACTAGCCCACACACTGGTTACACTAGCCCACACACTAGCCCACACACTAGCCCACACACTAGCCCACACACTGGTTACACTAGCCCACACACTGGTTACACTAGCCCACACACTAGCCCACACACTAGCCCACACACTAGCCCACACACTAGCCCACACACTAGCCCACACACTGGTTACACTAGCCCACACACTGGTTACACTAGCCCACACACTGGTTACACTAGCCCACACACTAGCCCACACACTAGCCCACACACTGGTTACACTAGCCCACACACTGGTTACACTAGCCCACACACTAGCCCACACACTAGCCCACACACTAGCCCACACACTAGCCCACACACTAGCCCACACACTGGTTACACTAGCCCACACACTGGTTACACTAGCCCACACACTGGTTACACTAGCCCACACACTGGTTACACTAGCCCACACACTAGCCCACACACTAGCCCACACACTAGCCCACACACTAGCCCACACACTAGCCCACACACTAGCCCACACACTAGCCCACACACTAGCCCACACACTAGCCCACACACTAGCCCACACACTAGCCCACACACTACTCTGTCCTTGTCCTATGGGCTTGGTCTCCTACCACCATAGTGTTGTCAGGTTTGTCCGTGCGTGTGTGTGTGTGGGGGTCAGATAAATTCTTAGGTAAGAAAGAGCTCAAGTATGTCATGTGACTTGACACTTGTCTGTCATGTGACTTATCTGTCCTTGCCACAGGCTATTCATGTTCGTAAAGTCTGGTCGCCACCTGTATCTGCCGCTGCCTCCCCCTCCCCCACGCTGTCTGCAAGGTACGGAGTTAATCCCCCTAGCAGTGACCCTGAGGTAGGTAGCTTCCCTTTGTTCACCCAATATCATTTGCTCTTCTTATCAATGTTTGGTTTGACAGGCTTAACTTGGGCTAGTTTAAAAAATGTTGGATTAGAAATGTGAATTTTTTTTTTTACACAAGGTTTGGTCTGTTGCTCTCACGCAGTGCTCAATGCTGTCACAACACATGGAACTTTATGCCATACGCTGCACTCGGTGCCGTACGCAGCACTCGGTGCTGTACGCAGCACTTGGTGCTGAATGGTACATGTTACCTGCTTGTATTTGATTGAGCTAGTTTTACATCAGCTAAGCTAAGCACAGCTCTACCATTAGTCGTTCCACTCACAAACTAAATGTTTCACCCGCTTGTCCATGTTTGACCTTACTTTTGTCCATGTTTGACCCCACTATTGTCCATGTTTGACCCCACTATTGTCCATGTTTGAGCCCACTCTTGTCCATGTTTGACCCCACTATTGTCCATGTTTGACCCCACTATTGTCCATGTTTGACCCCACTATTGTCCATGTTTGACCCCCACTATTGTCCATGTTTGACCCCACTATTGTCCATGTTTGACCCCACTCATGTCCATGTTTGAGCCCACTATTGTCCATGTTCGACCCCACTATTGTCCATGTTTGACCCCACTATTGTCCATGTTTGACCCCGCTATTGTCCATGTTTGACCCCACTATTGTCCATGTTTGACCCCACTATTGTCCATGTTTGACCCCACTATTGTCCATGTTTGACCCCACTATGTCCATGTTTGAGCCCACTATTGTCCATGTTTGACCCCACTATTATCCATGTTTGACCCCACTCATGTCCATGTTTGACCCCACTATTGTCCATGTCTGACCCCACTATTGACCATATCAACAGTTAAAGAAGGCCTACTTCCGTCAGCTGGAGGAGATTGCCAGTCTACAGGAGCAGCTGCAGGTCAAAGACAGGCGCATCAAACAGCTAGAGATGGAACTCTCCCACATGAGGGAGCGAGAATCTGACCTCCGACCTGGAGAAAGTAATTGTTGGTAGGTCAACTTTGGGACATAGGTACGGCTGTCCTGTGGGTGGCTGAAACTGTCCTGTGGGAGGCTGAAACTGTCCTGTGGCTGTCCTGTGGGAGACTGAAACTGTCCTGTGGGAGGCTGAAACTGTCCTGTGGGAGGTTGTGTGTGAGATATGTGTAAGAGATGAGTGTGAGTTGTGTGACCTGGTTGTGCTGACCGACCAAACCTTGGATCTCGTTAGATTTCTCTGATGGCAAGACTTGAATTTTGGTGCTAAAGCTGGACACTGAAGGGAAGCAACACATTGTGGCATTACCTCCCTTGTGGACAGCTGTTTATACCTGGAGACTTTCAGTTGCTTCACTGTGACAGTCCTTGACCTTAGTATGTGCTCACCAGCCTTGACTTTAGTAGGTGGTGACAGTACTAATGTATGTGGTCACTATGGTGACAGTACTAATGTATGTGGTCACTATGGTGACAGTACTAATGTATGTGGTCACTATGGTGACAGTACTAATGTATGTGGTCACTATGGTGACAGTACTAATGTATGTGGTCACTATGGTGACAGTACTAATGTATGTGGTCACTATGGTGACAGTACTAATGTATGTGGTCACTATGGTGACAGTACTAATGTATGTGGTCACTATGGTGACAGTACTAATGTATGTGGTCACTATGGTGACAGTACTAATGTATGTGGTCACTATGGTGACAGTACTAATGTATGTGGTCACTATGGTGACAGTACTAATGTATGTGGTCACTATGGTGACAGTACTAATGTATGTGGTCACTATGGTGACAGTACTAATGTATGTGGTCACTATGGTGACAGTACTAATGTATGTGGTCACTATGGTGACAGTACTAATGTATGTGGTCACTATGGTGACAGTACTAATGTATGTGGTCACTATGGTGACAGTACTAATGTATGTGGTCACTATGGTGACAGTACTAATGTATGTGGTCACTATGGTGACAGTACTAATGTATGTGGTCACTATGGTGACAGTACTAATGTATGTGGTCACTATGGTGACAGTACTAATGTATGTGGTCACTATGGTGACAGTACTAATGTATGTGGTCACTATGGTGACAGTACTAATGTATGTGGTCACTATGGTGACAGTACTAATGTATGTGGTCACTATGGTGACAGTACTAATGTATGTGGTCACTATGGTGACAGTACTAATGTATGTGGTCACTATGGTGACAGTACTAATGTATGTGGTCACTATGGTGACAGTACTAATGTATGTGGTCACTATGGTGACAGTACTAATGTATGTGGTCACTATGGTGACAGTACTAATGTATGTGGTCACTATGGTGACAGTACTAATGTATGTGGTCACTATGGTGACAGTACTAATGTATGTGGTCACTATGGTGACAGTACTAATGTATGTGGTCACTATGGTGACAGTACTAATGTATGTGGTCACTATGGTGACAGTACTAATGTATGTGGTCACTATGGTGACAGTACTAATGTATGTGGTCACTATGGTGACAGTACTAATGTATGTGGTCACTATGGTGACAGTACTAATGTATGTGGTCACTATGGTGACAGTACTAATGTATGTGGTCACTATGGTGACAGTACTAATGTATGTGGTCACTATGGTGACAGTACTAATGTATGTGGTCACTATGGTGACAGTACTAATGTATGTGGTCACTATGGTGACAGTACTAATGTATGTGGTCACTATGGTGACAGTACTAATGTATGTGGTCACTATGGTGACAGTACTAATGTATGTGGTCACTATGGTGACAGTACTAATGTATGTGGTCACTATGGTGACAGTACTAATGTATGTGGTCACTATGGTGACAGTACTAATGTATGTGGTCACTATGGTGACAGTACTAATGTATGTGGTCACTATGGTGACAGTACTAATGTATGTGGTCACTATGGTGACAGTACTAATGTATGTGGTCACTATGGTGACAGTACTAATGTATGTACTATAGAGTAAGTAGAAGAAATATAGAAGACATGGCTACTGTACTTAGATGTGTACGTGTGCTGACAGTAGATCTGTTGCCATACAATCATCCAGCTCACCCAGTACTTCACACACTTCATGTGGTCACTCATCTGTTCAACTGGTCACTTCTCAGTGGTCACTTCTCAGAGTGGTCACTTCTTAGAGTGGTCACTTCTTAGAGTGGTCACTTCTTAGAGTGGTCACTTCTTAGAGTGGTCACTTCTTAGAGTGGTCACTTCTTAGAGTGGTCACTTCTTAGAGTGGTCACTTCTTAGAGTGGTCACTTCTTAGAGTGGTCACTTCTTAGAGTGGTCACTTCTTAGAGTGGTCACTTCTTAGAGTGGTCACTTCTTAGAGTGGTCACTTCTTAGAGTGGTCACTTCTTAGAGTGGTCACTTCTTAGAGTGGTCACTTCTTAGAGTGGTCACTTCTCAGAGTGGTCACTTCTTAGAGTGGTCACTTCTTAGAGTGGTCACTTCTCAGAGTGGTCACTTCTCAGAGTGGTCAGTCTTCCCATTAACATTAGTCCAACAAATCTAATCTAGGAAACTTTTCACCCAATCATCATGTTTTGTTAACTGCACTATCATTTATTGGTCCACTGTGGTCCCTATAGGTCCACGCTGTGGTCCCTGTAGGTCCACTCTAAGGACACTGTCAAGGATGTGGACACTGTCCATGACAAAATGTGGACACTGTCCATGACAAAATGTGGACACTGTCCATGACAAAATGTGGACACTGTCCATGACAAAATGTGGCCAGGGTTGCAGCAGTGGCTACCATTTACTTAGTGTATCTTCTTCATTTGACCTGTGTTTTGCCACCATATTTTATTGCTATTTATAAACATGTATATAGCTGTCACCATTTGCTTGTTTGTGATTTTAACTTATACATTTGATACAAACTTTTCTTGTTTATTATTTTAACTTATACATTTGATACAAACTTTAGACAATATTTTAATGAGCCAACTCTACAACCAAATGACCTTGACCAACAGCTGACCCTTACATTAACTTAATGAACAACGAAGAGCTTAGACTAGATGACACTAGAGTCATCTGACAATACATGACACAAGATGTCACATGACACTATACATGTCATATGATAAATGTTGCTGTAGACCTAAGCTCCTTAAACTATTTTGGTGTACCTCCGTTCAGTGCCTAGTTCAGTGCCTAATTTCCTTCACTTGATTTCATGATTAGTGCCTAATCTTATTTCTCTCATTTCTAATCAGTGCCTAGCCTCATTAACCTATCCTAAATACTAGTGCCTAGTGTCATTTTCTATTTTCTGCCTAGTTTGCCTACATTCCAATGTTTGAGCTCATGCTTTACCCTCTACATTTGATGAATTGGTTGCAAACCCCAAACGTTTAACAAGGGGAATATCCAAAACTCTGTCTCTTTCATTTGATTCTAATTATAGCATTGAGAAAACCCAATTTTTTTTTTATAATGGGAATACCCTAAACTTTTACGTTTGATCTTTGTTGTTAGTGCCTTGAATTCCTGTTAATGTTTAGTACCTTTTAGACAATTGTTTTTACCATTCAATGCTTTTACCTATGTTGATTCCTGGCTTTAAGGCATGATGTCAATAAGATGTTGCCAGTTAAATGATTTTTAGAACTGTCTGCTTTTAAGGACATTTGATACAAGATTTTTAGATTTTGTTACAGATGAACAAAACCTAGTTCAAGGTCAATATGTTAAAGTTTAATTCTGTTTGACTGGAATTGTTTTACTTACTGTCCTGTGCTGTGCTGTTTGAATGTCATGTGTCAACCCTCAGGTTGTCATGTGTCATCCCTAAGGTTGTCATGTGTCACCCTAAGGATGTCATGTGTCACCTCTAAGGTTGTCATGTGTCACCTCTAAGGTTGTCATGTGTCACCCCTAAGGATGTCATGTGTCACCCTAAGGTTGTCATGTGTCACCCTAAGGTTGTCATGTGTCACCCCTAAACTTGTCATGTGTCACCCTAAGGTTGTCATGTGTCACCCCTAAGGTTGTCATGTGTCACCCTAAGGTTGTCATGTGTCACCCTAAACTTGTCATGTGTCACCCTAAGGTTGTCATGTGTCACCCTAAGGTCATGTGTCACCCCTAAGGTTGTCATGTGTCACCCCTAAGGTTGTCATGTGTCACCCTAAGGTTGTCATGTGTCACCCTAAACTTGTCATGTGTCACCCCTAAGGTTGTCATGTGTCACCCCTAAGGTTGTCTTGTGTCACGCTAAGGTTGTCATGTGTCACCCTAAGGTTGTCATGTGTCACCCTAAGGTTGTCATGTGTCACCCTAAGGTTGTCATGTGTCACCCTAAGGTTGTCATGTGTCACCCCTAAGGTTGTCATGTGTCCCCCCCTAAGGTTGTCATGTGTCACCCCTAAGGTTGTCATGTGTCACCCCTAAGGTTGTCATGTGTCACCCTAAGGTTGTCATGTTACCCCAATGTGGTTGTCATGTGTCACCCATCTGAATGTTAAGCTTTACTCTCTGTGTTGTGATTTGATCTCTTATTTTTTTATTTTTTTTCTGACCAAGTTTGTTTCTACCTCTGCTTTATTTTTGTTTACCCCTGACTAATTTGTTTGATTACATGGTATTTCTTAATTAATTGGTTGTTAATTAGCCAGTCCCTGCCTGACACCATGTTCTTACACACTACTTGATGAAGCCAAACATATGTAGCACTTTTATTTTATACCTGAACTGTGTGCCTTTTATGATGGCCCACCAACCTACATGACACACTGACACCATTAGACAACACAATGACACCATTAGACAACACACTGACACCATTAGACAACACACTGACACCACAAGACAACACACTGACACCACAAGACAACACACTGACACCATTAGACAACACACTGACACCACTAGACAACACACTGACACCATTAGACAACACACTGACACCATTAGACAACACACTGACACCATTAGACAACACACTGACACCATTAGACAACACACTGACACCATTAGACAACACACTGACACCATTAGACAACACACTGACACCATTAGACAACACACTGACACCATTAGACAACACACTGACACCTGTGACACACTGGACAACACATTGTCTCACACAACATAGTGACACACTGGACAACACATTGTCTCACACAACATAGTGACACACTGGACAACACATTGTCTCACACAACATAGTGACACACTGGACAACACATTGTCTCACACAACATAGTGACACACTGGACAACACATTGTCTCACACAACATAGTGACACACTGGACAACACATTGTCTCACACAACATAGTGACACTGGACAACACATTGTCTCACACAACATAGTGACACACTGGACAACACATTGTCTCACACAACATAGTGACACACTGGACAACACATTGTCTCACACAACATAGTGACACACTGGACAACACATTGTCTCACACAACATAGTGACACACTGGACAACACATTGTCTCACACAACATAGTGACACTGGACACCTGACACCCCTGGACAGTTCTTGTATTCACACACACACAGTATAAAGTTCCGTGCAGTAAACGTTACCGGTCAAGTTCCTGTCAATAAATTTTGAGTCCAATTTTGATCTTGTTGGAGTTTTATTTACCCATTAAATATGTGTGTAAAGTAGATGTAGATCTGCTCTTCTTTAAACCAGGGTTATCATATTGTGTATGTTGAGTCCAGGGTTATCATATTGTGTATGTTGAGTCCAGGGTTATCATATTGTGTATGTTGAGTCCACACCTAATTCAGTTCAGTTGGTGTGTGAAGAAAACTCCAGACACATTACAATGGTACACATTTTAATTTTAATAATCGTCAAAAAAAAATTCTGATGAAGAGCATTCTTGGTAAGTAGCTAGAACAGGGGTCGGCAACCTGCGGCTCTCGAGTTCTATGCTTAATACCATTATTTTATTTTCAAAACTCATGAAAAATATTATTATGCAACACCCGGCAATGAACGATATAATAATTCTAAACAATAAGCGTACGCTATCAGAGGGGTGCGGAACGCACCGGGTGACACCAAGGCAAAAAATAGATAAGATATAGAGAAAAATTTAAGGGGGGGGTGCAAATCGGGTCGCTACGCCACTGTACGCTATTCAATTCGAATATTTAGTTACTCCCTATTTCAATGTACTTCCTATTAAAGTTTCCTTCCCAAATTGAAAAATTCAACGTAATGGTGAATATCAATAAGGAACTAAACTAGCTAAATGTAATACTTCAAGGAAAGGAAACACAGCCTATACCTTGCTGGAAGAAGTACATTGTTTAAAAAAAAATTGTCTTTGTTAAAGACACGGAGAGCGGTAAATAACCTACCTTAGAAGAACTCTTATCTTTAAAAATATCGTGATGAAACCGATGTTACTATTAACATAAATCACTTCAGCATTACTAGATCTATAAACAAAATAAAGGATTTATTCCTGAGAGATTTGAGCAGTTCAAAACAAATGCAAGTACTAGGGCGTTCATAGTAAATCCTCTAAACACAAAAACAAATGATGCTAGTTCGCTTCAGATGGAATTGCTGGATTTTAAAACCAAACCTTTGTGGAGTGGTAGGCTACATTCACAAAATTCAAGAGCAAGAGTTGGAGGTTAAGAAAAGCATGCAAGTTATAGGCCTACTTCACAAGTACACAGCTAAACTAACTTTCAAAAGGAATGCAAAGCCAAGGCTCAAATTTATGAAACTAATATTCAATGATTATAGTTTTATTATTAGATTAATAATTTTATTATTTTAGCAGAGGTAGCTCAAATACTTTATTATGTTCTGTGAAAACGTGTATTTTTATATCAATAAATATTATTTCATATTTAAAACTTTTTTTATTTTTAATTATATATATATATATATATATATATATATATATACGCCTAGTACAAATCAAATAAGAAGTTGTAAATAAAAATGTCAGTGGCTCTTTAAAATTTTGTAAATTGTAACTTTTGGCTCTTCAGTCTCAAAAGGTTGCCGACCCCTGATCTAGAATATAACGCTGCTGGTAGAGAATCTGTCCCAGAAGCGTGGGGGGGGGGGGGGGGGGGGGGGCGGGTCATTTGCCCCCGATCGCCGACCTTAGGTGGGCGCCAAAATGAGTTGGAAAAACAAATTGAAAATTTGAGGGGGGGGGGGTGCAAATCGAAAGTTTGTCCCCGGGAAGGGTCGCTACGTCTCTGAGCTGCCGTCATGGCAATATATTTTTTTTGTCTCATTAAAATAAGTAGGGTTTATTTATATAAAGATTAAAATTTTTTGTATAGTTGGCACTGTTTTTACTCTTTCGCATAACGTAAATAAAATATTTAATTAACGCACATTGCTAAAACATGTATGACAGATCAATGTCAAATAATACTTTCGTTTAGAAAACTAGAAAAATGGGATACATTTAATAACAGTAGGGTAAAAAAAAATAATCAAAATCTTTTATAATTTTGCCAGGGGAGGAAAGTTAAAAGAAATTCAACTCACACTAACAAGTTAATTACTAAGTTGAATCAGGCGGTTCCGCCCCCCCCCCCCCCCCCCCCCCCGGGCCGGATGCGATTTAGCGCCCCGGGCTAGACTGTGAGCACTATGTGTTATGTTATGCGTTTGCATTTTCTTTTGTGTTTTTTGCATTGTGTTTGTTTTTTTCGTTTTTGTTATTGTTTGTTTGTTTGCATTTTGTTTTCTTTTGTAGTGTGTTGTGTTTGCGTTGTGTTCTTGTTTTCGTTTGTATGCAGCTAGTATCAAAATGTTGGGGAACGCCGACTCTTTGAATGTACGTTTGAAACATACGTTTAATCCGAGGTGTGAAGAGGTTCACAATCTCTCAAAAATGCGACTTTTTAGAAAATAATTTCAAAAAAATAAATAGGCCATGTCATGCAGATGTCATGTCAATTAATTAAAGTACAAACAGTGGTCATGTCATGCAGAGGTCATGTCAGTTAATTAAAGTACAAACATTGGTCATGTCATGCAGATGTCATGTCAGTTAATTAAAGTACAAACATTGGCCATGTCATGCAGATGTCATGTCAGTCAATATCCGGGAAACAACTCAGCAGCTTGGCATGAAGATACAATTTTGTGTCAGACCTCCCCATGCCCCTCCCTAAAGTCAGCCCTCCCTCAACCCCTCCTTAAAGTCAGACCCCCTCCAGCCCCAACATAAAGTTATATATCCCCCAACTCCTGCATAAATTCAGACGAATTTTGTAAGTTTTTGTAGAATTTGAATTTATGCGTGCTAAGGGAAATAACGCAATTAATATTTAGGCAAAATCACACTAGCTTGGTTATATCCCCTTACGGATTCAAAAAAAAAAATAATTTTAAAAAGTCCAAGGTGGTCAGTTTAACGTTGGAAAACAGGGAAGGGGGAGCACGGTGTAAAGTTGAGGTGAAAAAAGTGGGTCAACACGTTGTTTATTTATAGCAACTACTTTATTCATTAGGCGTGAATCGTTATAAAAAAAATCAATAGTCCTAGTATTAACCTGCATTTGCTAAATTAAAAATGTTCTATGGCCAATGCTAGTCGGAAAAAGCTGCGCATGCGCATACTTACTAAACAGCGCTACAATGACCTGGTTTTTCTTGTAATCTAAATATCCGTTGTTCAGGTCAATGGGATTAACATTATTGAAACTTAAATAGTAGATTTAAATAGGCTACTTAAAATAGTTTTCAAAATATGTTATACTTTACTTACAGACTAGTTGGGTAGATCTCTTTACTAGATGTTCTAGGTTCTATCTCAGCTGACGGTCAACTAATCGACCAGGCGACGATGTAGTTTTGCTAGAAGAATAAAACTTAAAGATAAATTTGAGCCCATTGCGCAGTTCTTAAGGTTAATTTTTGTCAATTTTTAGCCTTTTTAAGGTCATTAAGTTTTCGACTCTTCTGTCGGATAACCTTGTAGAGTGGGCCGAAGCTTCTTCTGACTAGTCACTTCGATAAATTTATACTAAGGGAAAAAACTCAGTTAATATTTTCTTTAAAATTGTCCTCACCTGGTTATATCCCCTAATGATAAAAAAATAAAAAATAAAAATGAACGTTTTAATTGTTAAAATAATACTCTTAAAAAACGTCTTCACTTAAATATTCATGACTGTTTAATTAACTGAAAAGAAAAGCGTGGGTAATTTATAGACGACCCTTAATGACAAATGTATCAAGGTAGTTCAACGTATAATTAATATAATCCATACTTAGGTGTTTAAAATCGCTACACAATACTCAAACATCTTTTTGTATAAAATCCGTTTGATGTTGCTTATTTTTGTGACAACTAAGAAAATAGTTTAAACAATAAACGACCTACACGCTATAGAAGATCTAATGAACTCAACCCAGAATAGTCTCAGGATGATTCGAAAGGCTCATTAAATATTTTTTAAATCAACTGCGATGTTAATAAAATAAATAAATAAATAAATAAATAAATAAATAAATAAATAAATAAATAGATAAATAAGTAATAAATAATAAATAAATAAAAAAATAAATAAATAAATAAATAAATAAATACACACACACACACACACACACACACACACACACACATATATATATATATATATATATATATATATATATATATATATATATATATATATATATATATATATATATATATATATATAAATATATATATATAATTTCGCACTGGCGGCGCCCTAGCAGGGTGCAATTTGGCGCCCCGGGCTATCATATTTTAAAAATGTGGTAGAATATGGATAAGAAGTAGTATTATAGTCTTTCACTAAACTAAATCAGGCCCGTCTGACCAGGCAGGCTACGATTTGCCCCGGGCTATCCTGGGACTATCTTTTAACCCCGCGGCAACGCGCGGGGACGGGCACGCTAGCATGGTTATAACATCTGACTATTTGATTTTATTTTTTTTAAAACTTTACTAAAGATTAGATGTAATTCATAATTTTAATATTTTAGCTAATTCAGCAAAATAAAAAATAAGCCAAACAATTCGTTTGTTTTCATTTATCACATAAATTGGAAAGAAATGTTTGAACTAGGTCATGTGGTTTAAGCAATGTTTTGATTTTAAATTACTTTGATTTTTTTAAAATGGGGTTCTCAGAATATCAATCCCTGGGTTCCTGTGCAACTAATCAATGTTTGTCTTACGAAAGTGAAACATAGACTTGATGAAAATAAATAGAATTGTAGCCTCAAAACAATTTCAAGTTCTCTGGATTTGAAACTTTTATAACATTGATTCTAAAAATATTTATTTCTGAATTATTTTTAGGCTTAAGTTTTTTATTTTACGGTCGCTTTGCTTGAAATTAAAAAAAAAAAATTTTTGGGGAAAAATCCAATCAAAATATAGTGACGTCATTCTGCTTCCATAATCAAGGGGAACAAATTTGTGTGTAGAAACATTTCCAAAAGTAAACAAATATGGCGCGAGGTGTGTGGAGTGGAAGCATGGTCGTGTGTTATATTGTTTTCTTATATTTGTTCTCAGTCGGGTATAGAGGTAGGTGTTGATAAACTATAGTCAGGTGTTGATAAACTATGGTCAGGTGTTGATAAACTATGGTCAGGTGTTGATAAACTATAGTCAGGTAGGTGTTGATAAACTGGTAGGTGTTGATAAGATTATTAAGATAAACTATGGTCAGGTGTTGATAAACCATGGTCAGGTGTTGATAAACTATAGGCAGGTAGGTGTTGATAAACCATGGTCAGGTGTTGATAAACCATGGTCAGGTAGGTGTTGATAAACTATGGTCAGGTAGGTGTTGATAAACTATGGTCAGGTAGGTGTTGATAAGATAAACTATGGTCAGGTAGGTGTTGATAAACTATAGGCAGGTGTTGATAAACTATAGGCAGGTAGGTGTTGATAAACTATAGGCAGGTGTTGATAAACTATAGGCAGGTGTTGATAAACTATAGGCAGGTGTTGATAAACTATAGGCAGGTGTTTATAAACTATAGGCAGGTAGGTGTTGATAAACTATAGGCAGGTGTTGATAAACTATGGTCAGGTGTTGATAAACTATAGTCAGGTAGGTGTTGATAAACTATGGCCAGGTGTTGATAAACCATGGTCAGGTGTTGATAAACTATGGTCAGGTGTTGATAAACTATAGTCAGGTGTTGATAAACTATAGGCAGGTGTTGATAAACTATGGTCAGGTGTTGATAAACTATAGGCAGGTGTTGATAAACTATAGGTAGGTGTTGATAAACTATAGTCAGGTAGGTGTTGATAAACTATAGGTAGGTGTTGATAAACTATAGTCAGGTGTTGATAAACTATAGTCAGGTGTTGATAAAGTTTAGTCAGGTGTTGATAAACTATAGTCAGGTGTTGATAAACTATGGTCAGGTGTTGATAAACTATAGGCAGGAGTTGATAAACTATGGTCAGGTGTTGATAAACTATAGGCAGGTGTTGATAAACTATGGTCAGGTGTTGATAAAGTTTAGTCAGGTGTTGATAAACTATAGTCAGGTGTTGATAAACTATGGTCAGGTGTTGATAAACTATAGGCAGGAGTTGATAAACCATGGTCAGGTGTTGATAAACCATAGTGAGGTGTTGATAAACTATGGCCAGGTGTTGATAAACTATGGGCAGGTGTTGATAAACTATGGTCAGGTGTTGATAAACCATGGTCAGGTGTTGATAAACTATGACTGACACTGTCACTATCAATGACATTCACTGTTTGACAAGGTCGTTTATTGTGTGATATTTTCACCTTGACCTAGCTGACCCTGACTTTGACCTTGACCTGAGCCACTACGGAACTCACTTTGTGATCAGCTCGGCCCTGAACGACTACAACACGACCCTCGGGGAGGATGACGTCATATGGATCCTCCAGATCCTCAACCCTACGGTACGTCACGTGAGTCACGTGCGTCACATGCGTCATGTCTGGGGTTTCTTTGGCCGGGGACTTTTGCTAACTCGGGTCATAGCCGGGTCAAGGTCGCTGCTAAGGTAAGGGTTAAGTGTTTGGGTTAGGGCCATGGTTAAAGAAAGGGGCTGGTCAGTTAAGGACTGCAGTAAGGGGTTGGGCTATGGTCAGTTAAGGGTTGCTGTAAGGGGGTTGGGCTATGGTCAGTTAAGGGCTGCCTTGTAATGACGTCCATTTTGTTTTAGACAAAAACTGCGAGGCTAAAAATAGAAGTGGCTGGTACGGTCAGCAAGATGGCGCACGTGGGGGCATTGCGCGCGCAGAATGTTCACGTCTCGCCATTGATGAGGTCAGTGTCACGTCGCTGTCACGTCTATTGTCTGTCACGTCTATTGTCTGTCACGTCTATAGTCTGTCACGTCTATTGTCTGTCACGTCTGTTGTCTGTCACGTCTATTGTCTTTCACGTCTATTGTCTGTCACGTCTATTGTCTGTCAAGTCTATTGTCTGTCACGTCTATTGTCTGTCACGTCTATTGTCTGTCACGTCTATTGTCTGTCACGTCTATTGTCTGTCACGTCTATTGTCTGTCACGTCTATTGTCTGTCACGTCTAATACCCGCCATTGAGCTGTCCCGGATGTGTGATTGTACTGTGGATCTCACCCAATGGTCATGGGATGTAAAGGGTCAAGTTGTGAGGGTAGAGATTCTAGCCACCCCACCCCGACCCCAGGCCGACCCCACCCCGACCCCAGGCCACCCCACTCCGACCCCACCCCGACCCCAGCCCGACCCCACCCCGACCCGACCCCACCCCGACCCCACCCCGACCCCACCAGATTGAATCACGTGACATATTTCTCAGGTCTGAGCAGGTCGGCTTGACCCAGTCCCTGGTCGTCTGGTCTACGGACGCCGTGTCTGTCACTGTCATCAACAACGGCAGGTCCCACGAGGGTCTGTTGGCTTTCCCCGTCAGCGTCTTTGGTACTCAGTACATAGTCGTCACGCTTCCGTGAGTACCGTGTCACAATCTCAAATCACTACACGTCAGGTCACATCACTACACTGTGACGTCGCGGTCACATTACATCACCATACTGTCACATCACTACATTGTCACGTTACATCACCACACTGTCCATCACTACATTGTCACGTTACATACTCACACTGTCACGTCACCAAATTGTCACGCCACTAAATTGTCACGTCACCCCTGCTAGAGGTAACCCAGTGCTGCAGGTGCTGACCTCCCATGACCTGACGCACGTGACCATCCATTTCACCGACATGTCACGTGACCTTGAGGCCAGCGATCAACACAAGTTCAAGGTCGTGTATAACGGTGAGACCTACACGCCCGGCTCGACCTTGGAGGTGACGATAGAGTCCAAGTAAGTCGCGTGACCCGACACAGGTCAATGTGTATGTGGGTCGAGGTCATCGTGTGGCTTTGATATTTGTATGCCAAGGTCAACCTTCATGTTTCAAGGCCAGACATGATGTAAAACTCGTTAACTAATTAGATGGGTGGTATTAAGCTCCCAACTTATTAGATGAGTAGTGTTAAAGCTTCCCAATTATGTAAATGAGCAGTAATTAAGCTCCCAACTAATTAGTCTTGGATCAATTGCCAGGTACCAGGTGTTTCAATTCCATGACTGCCACGCCCACCATCGGCTGAGGTCTGACTTCACAGGTGAGTCAGTGACCTTGACTTTACAGCTCATATGCGAGTCAGTGACCTTGACCTAACGTTAATTTTAACAAATCCACGGCCTTGAACTGACCACACACACACGTCAGGTAACCACGTGACGTCACACAACCTGACCACGTCATATAGGTTGTCCTTTATGACGTCACAGAATTACCCAAAAAAGTGTCAATAAATGTAACAATTTGGTTTCAATAAAAAGTTTGTTAGTAAAAACTTTTTACATTCAACTCTAACCCGTAACCCTAATCCTCATTCTTACCCTACACTAACTCTACCCTACCCTCCCCTACCATAGCCTCCCCTACCATACCCTACCCTAGCCTAGCCTAGCCTAGCCTAGCATAGCATAGCATAGCATTTCATAGCATAGCATAGCATAGCATAGCATAGCATAGCATAGCATAGCATAGCATAGCATAGCATAGCAAACCATAGCCTACCCTACCCTACCCTACCCTACCCTACCCTACCCTACCTTACCTTACCCTACCCTACCCTACCCTACCCTACCCTACCCCAATCCTAACCATAGCAGAAACCCCCTCCCCCAGAGTCTATGGCATGACGTTATTTTTCTGTCACGTGATTTAGGTACGTTGATCACATCAAGTTTACCGGTCGGCGTGATCTCAGGCAACTGTGTGACAAATTCCAACCCAGATGATGATCACGGCAGCCATCTTGAAGGTCAGTCACCTCGGTACGCTTTATCCACTCTGTGACGTATGATCCACTATATGACTTGAAGCCATTGTATGAATACGATCCATTGTATGCCGTATGCTCCATTGTGTGATGTATGCTCCACTGTATGACCTATGCTCAACTGTATGACGTATGCTCCACTGTATGACGTATGCTCCATTGTGTGATGTATGCTCCACTGTATGACCTATGCTCCACTGTATGACGTATGCTCCACTGTATGACGTATGCTCCACTGTATGACGTATGCTCCACTGTATGACCTATGCTCCACTGTATGACCTATGCTCCACTGTATGACGTATGCTCCACTGTATGACGTATGCTCCACTGTATGACGTATGCTCCACTGTATGACCTATGCTCTACTGTATGACATATGCTCCACTGTATGACGTATGCTCCACTGTATGACGTATGCTCCACTGTATGACGTATGCTCCACTGTATGACGTATGCTCCACTGTATGACGTATGCTCCACTGTATGACGTATGCTCCGCTGTATGACCTATGCTCCACTGTATGACATATGCTCCACTGTATGACGTATGCTCCACTGTATGACCTATGCTCCACTGTATGACCTATGCTCCACTGTATGACCTATGCTCCACTGTATGACGTATGCTCCACTGTATGACGTATGCTCCACTGTATGACGTATGCTCCACTGTATGACGTATGCTCCACTGTATGACGTATGCTCCACTGTATGACGTATGCTCCACAGAAATGCTTGTCCCCATCTCCAGCTGGGGTTACCATTTCTACATAGCCACCCCTAGCGCCGGCTACCCGACCCAGACCCGCATACGGGTCGTCTCCCTGACATTTGGCGTCCTGAGGCTCCACACAGGCCCGGGGGGACTCCACACAGACCCGGGGGGACTAGAGGACACCCAGCAGGTTGATGGCAGGACCGTTGCTGAGGTGAGGGATTGGGGTGGGTTGATTAGGGTGGGGTGATTGGGGAGGGGGTTGATTGGGTTGGGTTGATTGGGTTGGGGTGATTGGGGTGGGGTGATTGGGTTGGATTGATTGGGGTGGGGTGATTGGGGTGGGGTGATTGGGGTGGGGTGATTGGGGTGGGGTGATTGGGGTGGGGTGATTGGGGTGGATTGATTGGGGCGGGGTGATTGGGGTGGGTTGATTGGGGTGGGTTGATTGGGGTGGGTTGATTGAATGTTGACAGGTTCCTGTTGTATTTCTATGCTTAATTGTTTTTGTCCGATGTTAACAAATTATTTGTCCGATGTTAACAAATGATTTGTCTGATGTTAACAATGATTTGTCTGATGTTAACAAATGATTTGTCTGATGTTAACAAATGATTTGTCCGATGTTAACAAATGATTTGTCCGATGTTAACAAATGATTTGTCCGATGTTAACAAATGATTTGTCCGATGTTAACAAATGATTTGTCCGATGTTAACAAATGATTTGTCCGATGTTAACAAATGATTTGTCCGATGTTAACAAATGATTTGTCCGATGTTAACAAATCTCGTCTGCCCCTGGCACCAGGAGCTGACCCTCTTGTACCGAGCCCCCACCTTTTGGTGCCAGAAAATTCTGTCAGGTGAGGTCCACGCCTACCTGGTCTCCACGGTGCCAATCTTTGTCGTCATGTACTGGCCGGACAAGGTCACGGGGTCAAAAGGTCATTCAGGCATGATCCAGCTGGTTCCAAATGAAAATTGGCTGAGCTGGTATTACATCAGGTAAAGTGTTCCATTACATCAGGTAAATAGTTCTATGACATCAGGTAAATTGTTCTATGACATCAGGTAAATAGTTCTATGACATCAGGTAAATTGTTCTATGACATCAGGTAAATTGTTCTATGACATCAGGTTAATAGTTCCATGATATTGATTTAATTGTTATAATGTTGCTTGCTGAAAATCTCTGTCTAATATTTGTGTTTAAATGATATGACCTACTGACCTACTTCAGAGCACCTGACCTACAAAACAAGAACAGCTTCATCTACTTGAGTATTGTTGCCATGACTACGGATGTGGATGGGATCAGGATCGGCTTCAACCATCTGGACTCTACAGACGAGTGAGTTGGACATTTGTAGGACATTTGTAGGACATTTGTAGTTAATTTGTAGTTCATTTGTAGTACATCGGTAGGACATTGGAAGGACATTTGTAGGACATTTGTAAAACATTTGTAGGACATTTGTAGTACATTTGTAGTAAATTTGTAGTACATTTGTAGGACATTTGTAGTACATTTATAGTACATCCGTAGGACATTGGAAGGACATTTGTAGGACATTTGTAGGACATTTGGAGGACATTTGTAGGACATTTGTAGGACATATGTAGGATATTTGTAGGACATTTGTAGCACATCGGGTGGACATTTGTAGGACATTTGTGCGACATCGGTAGGACATTGGAAGGACATTTGTCGGACATTTGTAACAGATAGGTAGGACATTTTAAGGACATCGGGAGGACATTTTAGGACATTTGTAGGAACTTTGTAGCACGTCGTTAGCATATTTTTAGGACATTGGAAGGACAATGGTAGGACATTTAGTGGAGTAGTAACTACTGACGTCGTGTAGGAACTGTCGTGTAGGAACTGTTGCTGTCGTGTAGGAACTGTTGCTGTCGTGTAGGAACTGTTGCTGTCGTGTAGGAACTATTGCTGTCGTGTAGGAACTGTTGCTGTCGTGTAGAAACTGTTGCTGTCGTGTAGGAACTGTTGCTGTCGTGTAGGAACTGTTGCTGTCGTGTAGAAACTGTCGTGTAGGAACTGTTGCTGTCGTGTAGGAACTGTTGCTGTCGTGTAGGAACTGTTGCTGTCGTGTAGGAACTGTCGTGTAGGAACTGTTGCTGTCGTGTAGGAACTGTTGCTGTCGTGTAGGAACTGTCGTGTAGGAACTGTTGCTGTCGTGTAGGAACTGTTGCTGTCGTGTAGGAACTGTTGCTGTCGTGTAGGAACTGTTGCTGTCGTGTAGGAACTGTTGCTGTCGTGTAGGAACTGTTGCTGTCGTGTAGGAACTGTTGCTGTCGTGTAGGAACTGTCGCTGTCGTGTAGGAACTGTTGCTGTCGTGTAGGAACTGTTGCTGTCGTGTAGGAACTGTTGCTGTCGTGTAGGAACTGTTGCTGTCGTGTAGGAACTGTCGTGTAGGAACTGTTGCTGTCGTGTAGGAACTGTTGCTGTCGTGTAGGAACTGTTGCTGTCGTGTAGGAACTGTCGTGTAGGAACTGTTGCTGTCGTGTAGGAACTGTTGCTGTCGTGTAGGAACTGTTGCTGTCGTGTAGGAACTGTCGTGTAGGAACTGTTGCTGTCGTGTAGGAACTGTTGCTGTCGTGTAGGAACTGTTGCTGTCGTGTAGGAACTGTTGCTGTCGTGTAGGAACTGTTGCTGTCGTGTAGGAACTGTCGTGTAGTAACTGTTGCTGTCGTGTAGGAACTGTCATGTAGGAACTGTTGCTGTCGTGTAGGAACTGTTGCTGTCGTGTTGGAACTGTTGCTGTCGTGTAGGAACTGTTGCTTTCGTGTAGGAACTGTTGCTGTCGTGTAGGAACTGTTGTTGTCGTGTAGGAACTGTTGCTGTCGTGTAGGAACTGTTGCTGTCGTGTAGGAACTGTTGCTGTCGTGCAGGAACTGTCGTGTAGGAACTGTTGCTGTCGTGTAGGAACTGTCGTGTAGGAACTGTCGTGTAGGAACTGTTGCTGTCGTGTAGGAACTGTCGTGTAGGAACTGTTGCTGTCGTGTAGGAACTGTTGCTGTCGTGTAGGAACTGTCGTGTAGGAACTGTTGCTGTCGTGTAGGAACTGTCGCTGTCGTGTAGGAACTGTTGCTGTCGTGTAGGAACTGTCGTGTAGGAACTGTTGCTGTCGTGTAGGAACTGTTGCTGTCGTGTAGGAACTGTTGCTGTCGTGTAGGAACTGTTGCTGTCGTGTAGGAACTGTCGTGTAGGAACTGTTGCTGTCGTGTAGGAACTGTTGCTGTCGTGTAGGAACTGTCGCTGTCGTGTAGGAACTGTTGCTGTCGTGTAGGAACTGTTGCTGTTGTGTAGGAACTGTTGCTGTTGTGTAGGAACTGTTGCTGTCGTATAGGAACTGTTGCTGTCGTGTAGGAACTGTCGTGTAGGAACTGTTGCTGTCGTGTAGGAAATGTTGCTGTCGTGTAGGAACTGTTGCTGTCGTGTAGGAACTGTCGTGTAGGAACTGTTGCTGTCGTGTAGGAACTGTCGTGTAGGAACTGTTGCTGTCGTGTAGGAACTGTTGCTGTCGTGTAGGAACTGTCGTGTAGGAACTGTTGCTGTCGTGTAGGAACTGTCGTTTAGGAACTGTTGCTGTCGTGTAGGAACTGTTGCTGTCGTGTAGGAACTGTTGCTGTCGTGTAGGAACTGTTGCTGTCGTGTAGGAACTGTTGCTGTCGTGTAGGAACTGTTGCTGTCGTGTAGGAACTGTTGCTGTCGTGTAGGAACTGTTGCTGTCGTGTAGGAACTGTTGCTGTCGTGTAGGAACTGTTGCTGTCGTGTAGGAACTGTTGCTGTCGTGTAGGAACTGTCGCTGTCGTGTAGGAACTGTTGCTGTCGTGTAGGAACTGTTGCTGTCGTGTAGGAACTGTCGTGTAGGAACTGTTGCTGTCGTGTAGGAACTGTTGCTGTCGTGTAGGAACTGTTGCTGTCGTGTAGGAACTGTTGCTGTCGTGTAGGAACTGTTGCTGTCGTGTAGGAACTGTTGCTGTCGTGTAGGAACTGTTGCTGTCGTGTAGGAACTGTCGCTGTCGTGTAGGAACTGTTGCTGTCGTGTAGGAACTGTTGCTGTCGTGTAGGAACTGTTGCTGTCGTGTAGGAACTGTTGCTGTCGTGTAGGAACTGTCGTGTAGGAACTGTTGCTGTCGTGTAGGAACTGTTGCTGTCGTGTAGGAACTGTTGCTGTCGTGTAGGAACTGTCGTGTAGGAACTGTTGCTGTCGTGTAGGAACTGTTGCTGTCGTGTAGGAACTGTTGCTGTCGTGTAGGAACTGTCGTGTAGGAACTGTTGCTGTCGTGTAGGAACTGTTGCTGTCGTGTAGGAACTGTTGCTGTCGTGTAGGAACTGTTGCTGTCGTGTAGGAACTGTTGCTGTCGTGTAGGAACTGTCGTGTAGTAACTGTTGCTGTCGTGTAGGAACTGTCATGTAGGAACTGTTGCTGTCGTGTAGGAACTGTTGCTGTCGTGTTGGAACTGTTGCTGTCGTGTAGGAACTGTTGCTTTCGTGTAGGAACTGTTGCTGTCGTGTAGGAACTGTTGTTGTCGTGTAGGAACTGTTGCTGTCGTGTAGGAACTGTTGCTGTCGTGTAGGAACTGTTGCTGTCGTGCAGGAACTGTCGTGTAGGAACTGTTGCTGTCGTGTAGGAACTGTCGTGTAGGAACTGTCGTGTAGGAACTGTTGCTGTCGTGTAGGAACTGTCGTGTAGGAACTGTTGCTGTCGTGTAGGAACTGTTGCTGTCGTGTAGGAACTGTCGTGTAGGAACTGTTGCTGTCGTGTAGGAACTGTCGCTGTCGTGTAGGAACTGTTGCTGTCGTGTAGGAACTGTCGTGTAGGAACTGTTGCTGTCGTGTAGGAACTGTTGCTGTCGTGTAGGAACTGTTGCTGTCGTGTAGGAACTGTTGCTGTCGTGTAGGAACTGTCGTGTAGGAACTGTTGCTGTCGTGTAGGAACTGTTGCTGTCGTGTAGGAACTGTCGCTGTCGTGTAGGAACTGTTGCTGTCGTGTAGGAACTGTTGCTGTTGTGTAGGAACTGTTGCTGTTGTGTAGGAACTGTTGCTGTCGTATAGGAACTGTTGCTGTCGTGTAGGAACTGTCGTGTAGGAACTGTTGCTGTCGTGTAGGAAATGGTGCTGTCGTGTAGGAACTGTTGCTGTCGTGTAGGAACTGTCGTGTAGGAACTGTTGCTGTCGTGTAGGAATTGTCGTGTAGGAACTGTTGCTGTCGTGTAGGAACTGTTGCTGTCGTGTAGGAACTGTCGTGTAGGAACTGTTGCTGTCGTGTAGGAACTGTCGTTTAGGAACTGTTGCTGTCGTTTAGGAACTGTTGCTGTCGTGTAGGAACTGTTGCTGTCGTGTAGGAACTGTTGCTGTCGTTTAGGAACTGTTGCTGTCGTGTACGAACTGTTGCTGTCGTGTAGGAACTGTTGCTGTCGTGTAGGAACTGTTGCTGTCGTGTAGGAACTGTTGCTGTCGTGTAGGAACTGTTGCTGTCGTGTAGGAACTGTCGCTGTCGTGTAGGAACTGTTGCTGTCGTGTAGGAACTGTTGCTGTTGTGTAGGAACTGTTGCTGTTGTGTAGGAACTGTTGCTGTCGTATAGGAACTGTTGCTGTCGTGTAGGAACTGTCGTGTAGGAACTGTTGCTGTCGTGTAGGAAATGTTGCTGTCGTGTAGGAACTGTTGCTGTCGTGTAGGAACTGTCGTGTAGGAACTGTTGCTGTCGTGTAGGAACTGTCGTGTAGGAACTGTTGCTGTCGTGTAGGAACTGTTGCTGTCGTGTAGGAACTGTCGTGTAGGAACTGTTGCTGTCGTGTAGGAACTGTCGTTTAGGAACTGTTGCTGTCGTGTAGGAACTGTTGCTGTCGTGTAGGAACTGTTGCTGTCGTGTAGGAACTGTTGCTGTCGTGTAGGAACTGTTGCTGTCGTGTAGGAACTGTTGCTGTCGTGTAGGAACTGTTGCTGTCGTGTAGGAACTGTTGCTGTCGTGTAGGAACTGTTGCTGTCGTGTAGGAACTGTTGCTGTCGTGTAGGAACTGTTGCTGTCGTGTAGGAACTGTCGCTGTCGTGTAGGAACTGTTGCTGTCGTGTAGGAACTGTTGCTGTTGTGTAGGAACTGTTGCTGTCGTGTAGGAACTGTTGCTGTCGTGTAGGAACTGTTGCTGTCGTGTAGGAACTGTCGTGTAGGAACTGTTGCTGTCGTGTAGGAAATGTTGCTGTCGTGTAGGAACTGTTGCTGTCGTGTAGGAACTGTCGTGTAGGAACTGTTGCTGTCGTGTAGGAACTGTCGTGTAGGAACTGTTGCTGTCGTGTAGGAACTGTTGCTGTCGTGTAGGAACTGTCGTGTAGGAACTGTTGCTGTCGTGTAGGAACTGTCGTTTAGGAACTGTTGCTGTCGTGTAGGAACTGTTGCTGTCGTGTAGGAACTGTTGCTGTCGTGTAGGAACTGTTGCTGTCGTGTAGGAACTGTTGCTGTCGTGTAGGAACTGTTGCTGTCGTGTAGGAACTGTCGTGTAGGAACTGTTGCTGTCGTGTAGGAACTGTCGTTTAGGAACTGTTGCTGTCGTGTAGGAACTGTCGCTGTCGTGTAGGAACTGTTGCTGTCGTGTAGGAACTGTCGTGTAGGAACTGTTGCTGTCGTGTAGGAACTGTTGCTGTCGTGTAGGAACTGTTGCTGTCGTGTAGGAACTGTTGCTGTCGTGTAGGAACTGTCGTGTAGGAACTGTTGCTGTCGTGTAGGAACTGTTGCTGTCGTGTAGGAACTGTCGCTGTCGTGTAGGAACTGTTGCTGTCGTGTAGGAACTGTTGCTGTTGTGTAGGAACTGTTGCTGTTGTGTAGGAACTGTTGCTGTCGTATAGGAACTGTTGCTGTCGTGTAGGAACTGTCGTGTAGGAACTGTTGCTGTCGTGTAGGAAATGTTGCTGTCGTGTAGGAACTGTTGCTGTCGTGTAGGAACTGTCGTGTAGGAACTGTTGCTGTCGTGTAGGAATTGTCGTGTAGGAACTGTTGCTGTCGTGTAGGAACTGTTGCTGTCGTGTAGGAACTGTCGTGTAGGAACTGTTGCTGTCGTGTAGGAACTGTCGTTTAGGAACTGTTGCTGTCGTTTAGGAACTGTTGCTGTCGTGTAGGAACTGTTGCTGTCGTGTAGGAACTGTTGCTGTCGTTTAGGAACTGTTGCTGTCGTGTACGAACTGTTGCTGTCGTGTAGGAACTGTTGCTGTCGTGTAGGAACTGTTGCTGTCGTGTAGGAACTGTTGCTGTCGTGTAGGAACTGTTGCTGTCGTGTAGGAACTGTCGCTGTCGTGTAGGAACTGTTGCTGTCGTGTAGGAACTGTTGCTGTTGTGTAGGAACTGTTGCTGTTGTGTAGGAACTGTTGCTGTCGTATAGGAACTGTTGCTGTCGTGTAGGAACTGTCGTGTAGGAACTGTTGCTGTCGTGTAGGAAATGTTGCTGTCGTGTAGGAACTGTTGCTGTCGTGTAGGAACTGTCGTGTAGGAACTGTTGCTGTCGTGTAGGAACTGTCGTGTAGGAACTGTTGCTGTCGTGTAGGAACTGTTGCTGTCGTGTAGGAACTGTCGTGTAGGAACTGTTGCTGTCGTGTAGGAACTGTCGTTTAGGAACTGTTGCTGTCGTGTAGGAACTGTTGCTGTCGTGTAGGAACTGTTGCTGTCGTGTAGGAACTGTTGCTGTCGTGTAGGAACTGTTGCTGTCGTGTAGGAACTGTTGCTGTCGTGTAGGAACTGTTGCTGTCGTGTAGGAACTGTTGCTGTCGTGTAGGAACTGTTGCTGTCGTGTAGGAACTGTTGCTGTCGTGTAGGAACTGTTGCTGTCGTGTAGGAACTGTCGCTGTCGTGTAGGAACTGTTGCTGTCGTGTAGGAACTGTTGCTGTTGTGTAGGAACTGTTGCTGTCGTGTAGGAACTGTTGCTGTCGTATAGGAACTGTTGCTGTCGTGTAGGAACTGTCGTGTAGGAACTGTTGCTGTCGTGTAGGAAATGTTGCTGTCGTGTAGGAACTGTTGCTGTCGTGTAGGAACTGTCGTGTAGGAACTGTTGCTGTCGTGTAGGAACTGTCGTGTAGGAACTGTTGCTGTCGTGTAGGAACTGTTGCTGTCGTGTAGGAACTGTCGTGTAGGAACTGTTGCTGTCGTGTAGGAACTGTCGTTTAGGAACTGTTGCTGTCGTGTAGGAACTGTTGCTGTCGTGTAGGAACTGTTGCTGTCGTGTAGGAACTGTTGCTGTCGTGTAGGAACTGTTGCTGTCGTGTAGGAACTGTTGCTGTCGTGTAGGAACTGTTGCTGTCGTGTAGGAACTGTTGCTGTCGTGTAGGAACTGTTGCTGTCGTGTAGGAACACGGTGATCAAGGAACTGCTGTCCGGCTTCACCTTCATTGCTCGGCTAGTCTCTAGCGGTCAAGGTCACGTGATCCAGCACCTGCACCAGCACACCTTCGCCTGCTACACCCGGCTGGTTGTCAAGGCGGGACGGGTCCTATATCAGCAGGGGATGGCGTTCAGAAACATGACCCAGGTGGGTGGGGCACACAGGTGGGTGGGGCAGAGATGACACAGGTGGGTGGGGCACACAGGTGGGTGGGGCAGAGATGATACAGGTGGGTGGGGCACACAGGTGGGTGGGGCAGATTGTATGACCTTACCACGTGACTGTATGACCATGTGATTGTATGATCTTACCACGTGACTATATGACCTTACCACGTGATTGTTTCACCCTACCACGTGACTGTATGACCTCACCACGTGACTGTATGACCACGTGATGCCCGTCAATCACCAGTTCCGCCTGGGGTGTGCACTGAGTCGCCGGTACATGGAGCCGCAGGATGGACTGGACAACGATTGTGACGGTCTAGTGGACGAGGAGGCTCATAACAACAGGAGTAGGTCATTTGTAGAGTTGGTCATTTAGTAGAGTTGGTGATTTGTAGAGTTGGTCATTTGTAGAGTTGGTCATTTGTAGAGTTGGTCATTTATAGAGTTGGTCATTTGTAGAGTTGGTCATTTAGTAGGTCATTTGGTAGAGTTGGTCATTTGTAGAGTTGGTCATTTGTAGCGTTGGTCATTTAGTATAGTTGGTCATTTGTAGAGTTGGTCATTTAGTAGGTCATTTGGTAGAGTTGGTCATTTGTAGAGTTGGTCATTTGTAGCGTTGGTCATTTAGTATAGTTGGTCATTTGTAGAGTTGGTCATTTGTAGAGTTGGTCATATGTAGAGTTGGTCATTTATAGAGTTGGTCATTTGTAGAGTTGGTCATTTGTAGAGTTGGTCATTTATAGAGTTGGTCATTTGTAGAGTTGGTCATTTAGTAGGTCATTTGTAGAGTTGGTCATTTGTAGAGTTAGTCATTTGTAGAGTTGGTCATTTAGTATAGTTGGTCATTTGTAGAGTTGGTCATTTGTAGAGTTGGTCATTTGTAGAGTTGGTCTTTTATAGAGTTGGTCATTTGTAGAGTTGGTCATTTAGTAGGTCATTTGGTAGAGTTGGTCATTTATAGAGTTGGTCATTAGTAGAGTTGGTCATTTAGTAGAGTTGGTCATTTGTAGAGTTTGTCATTTGTAGAGTTGGTCATTTGTAGAGTTGATCATTTTGGTAGAGTTAGTCATTTGTAGAGCTGTTTATTTAATATAGTTGTTCATTTAGTAGAGTTGGTCATTTGGTACAGCTGGTCATTTGTAGAGTTGATCATGTGTAGAGTTGGTCATTTTGGTAGACTGCTAATTACTACAATATTTTTTTTTTAAGGTGATGACTTCGATGACTTAGTGGACGAAGATTTGGGTGTAGGCAAGTCAATAAATCTTGTATGAAAAGTCAATTAATCTTGTAATAAAAGTCAATTAGTCATGTATTATAAGTCAATTAGTCTTGTATAATAATTCAATTAGTCTTGTATGATAAGTTAATTAGTCTTGTATATTAAGTCAATTAGTCTTGTATGATAAGTCAAATAGTCTTGTATGATAAGTAAATTAGTCTTGTATGATTAGTCATTTAGTCTTGTATGATAAGTCAATTAGTCATGTATTATGAGTCAATTAGTCTTGTATGAAAAGTCAATTGGTCTAGTATGATAATTAATTTAGTTATGTATGATAAGTCAATAAGTCTTGTATGAAAAGTCAATTAATCAATTGATAAGTCAATTAGTCGTGTATGATAAGTCAATTAGTCATTAATTATAAATCAATTGGTCTTGTATAATAATTCAATTAGTCTTGTATGATAAGTCAATAAGTCTTGTATGATAAGTCAATAAGTCTTTTATGATAAGTCAAATATTATTGTATAAGTAAATTAGTCTTGTATGATAAGTCATTTAGTCTTGTATGATAAGTCAATTAGTCATGTATTATACGTCAATTAGTTTTGTATGATAAGTCCATTAGTCATGTATTATAAGTCAATTAGTCTTGTATGAAAAGTCAATTAGTCTAGTATGATAATTCAATTAGTCATGTATGATAAGTCAATTAGTCATGTATTATAAGTCAATTAGTCTTGTATGAAAAGTCAATTAGTCTTGTATGATAAGTCAATTAGTCTTGTATGAAAAGTAAATTAGTCTTTTATGATGAGCCAATTAGTCATGTATGATAAGTCAATTAGTCTTGTATAATAAGTCAATTAGTCTTGTATAATAATTCAATTTGTCTTGTATGATCAGTCAATAAGTCTTGTTTGATAAGTCAATTAGTCATGTATGATAAGTCAATTAGTCGTGTATGATAAGTCAATTAGTCATTAATTATAAATCAATTGGTCTTGTATAATAATTCAATTAGTCTTGTATGAAAAGTCAATTAGTCGTGAAATAGAGTTCAATTAGTCATGTATGATAAGTCAATAAGTCATGTATGATAAATGAATAAGTCTTGTATGAAAAGTCAATAAGTCATGTACCTGGTAAGTCAATAAGTCATGTATGATACACGCATTTAAAGCACATGCTTGAAACGTGTGCATGATACACACTAGTGTATCAAACATGTATGCTAACTGTGTATGCTTGCAGTGTATGCTAGCCGTGTATGCTAGCCTTGTATGCTAGCTGTGTATGCTTGCAGTGTATGCTAGCCGTGTATGCTAGCCTTGTATGCTAGCCATGTATGCTACCCATGTATGTTAGCCATGTATGCTAGCCATGTATGCTAAACATGTATGCTAGCCATGTATGCTAGCCATGTTTGCTAGCCATGTATGCTAAACATGTATGCTAGCCATGTATGCTAGCCATGTATGCTAGCCATGTTTGCTAGCCATGTATGCTAGCCATGTATGCTAGCCATGTATGCTAGACATGTATGCTAGCCATGTATGCTAGCCATGTATGCTACCCATGTATGCTAGCCATGTATGCTAGCCATGTATGATTGATGACCTTGACCCCCAGTTGATGGCCAATGGTCACCTTGGTCTGTCGGCCTTGTGTGCTCAGTCCAATGTGCTGGGACAGGCGAGCTGGTTTATCTCAGGTTAGTGCCGTTGTCTGTTTTTTGTCTGTCTATTGTTTGTCATGTGTCTGTCCTTTGTCTGTCTTTTATGCTATATGTCTGTCTTTTGTCTATCTTTTGTCTGTCTATTTTCTGTCATGTGTCTGTCCTTTGTCTTTTGTCTGTCTTTTTTCTGTCTTTTGTCTGTATTTTGTGTTATATGTCTATCTTTTTTCTGTCTTTTGTCTGTCTATTGTCTGCCATGTGTCTGTCCTTTGTCTTTTGTCTGTCTTTTTTGTTATTTGTCTGTCTTTTGTCTGTCTTTTGTCTGTCTTTTGTCTGTCTTTTGCCTGTCCTTTGTCTGTCATTTGTATGTCATTTGTCCGTCTTTTGTCTTTCTTTTGTTTGTCTTTTATCTGTCATTGTCTTTTTAGCCTCTACTGTTTGTGTTTTTTTTTTTTTGCCTTTGATATGTCTGACTTGGTCTGTTTTTTTTTTTGTCATGTACCTGTCACCCCCCCCCCCCCCCCAGGAGCTGCACCAACCCCGAGAAGAGCCGTGACGGCCGGGACTGCCAGGGGCCTGCCACACGTTCTGGGGACGGGGTAGACGGGGTCTGCTACAGCCGTCATATCAAGTGTCCATCAGGTGAGGTGGGCGGGGTCTGCCATATCAAGTGTCCATCAGGTGAGGTGGGCGGGGTCTGCTACAGCCGTCATATCAAGTGTCCATCAGGTGAGGTGGGCGGGGTCTGCTACAGCGGTCATATCAAGTGTCCATCAGGTGAGGTGGGCGGGGTCTGCCATATCAAGTGTCCATCAGGTGAGGTGGGCGGGGTCTGCCATATCAAGTGTCCATCAGGTGAGGTGGGCGGGGTCTGCTACAGCCGTCATATCAAGTGTCCATCAGGTGAGGTGGGCGGGGTCTGCTACAGCCGTCATATCAAGTGTCCATCAGGTGAGGTGGGCGGGGTCTGCCATATCAAGTGTCCATCAGGTGAGGTGGGCGGGGTCTGCTACAGCCGTCATATCAAGTGTCCATCAGGTGAGGTGGGCGGGGTCTGCTACAGCCGTCATATCAAGTGTCCATCAGGTGAGGTGGGCGGGGTCTGCTACAGCCGTCATATCAAGTGTCCATCAGGTGAGGTGGGCGGGGTCTGCCATGTGCGGTGGTCGTGTCTTACAACAGTTGTCATGTGGAATTTTTTTAATTAAATAAATGTTACGCCATTGAGTGAATTAATGTGACGCCATTGAGTGAATTAATGTGACGCCAGTGAGTGAATTAATGTGACGCCATTGAGTGAATTAATGTGACGCCATTGAGTGAATTAATGTGACGCCATTGAATGACTAAATGTGACGCCATTGAGTGAATTAATGTGACGCCACTAAGTGACTAAATGTGACGCCATTGAAAGTAGTAATGTGACGACATTGAGTGACCAACTGTGACGCCATTGGCTAAGTGTGACGCCATTGACTAAATCTGACACCACTAAGTGACTAAATGTGACGCCATTGACTAAGTGTGACGCCAATTACAGCGTGTGAGAACGGAACGTGGGGCTACGACTGTGTCTATCCCTGTCCCCCGGGCTGCCAGGATGTGTGTGACAAAGTGACGGGCCGCTGCCGGACCTGTAAACACGGCTACGACCTCTCGCCCGACCGGATGTGCGGTCAAGGTCAAGGTTGTTGCTATTTCCTTTTTCTTCCAAGGCCAAGACCTTTGTGATAACGTTAGTTAATTTTTTACGAAAATAGTTCAACTTTTCTGTAGAGCGAGTATAACATAATGAGTAACCTTCCCCTCCCCTCCCCCCTCACCTCCTACAGATGCTGACATGAATCTACAGCCGCTGGGTGATAACCAGAGTAAGTAGTCGAAACACTGGGGGTAGGGGGTAAGTGGGGTGGGCGGGTGGGGTGGGAGGTAGGGGGTAGGTGGGCAAGTTGGGTAGTGGGCAGGTGGGGTGGAAGGTAGGGGGTAGGTGGGGTGGGAGGTAGTGGGTCGGTGGGGTGGGGGTAACAAATAGGGCACCTGACAATGTTCTAGAAACTAAGGCTAAGATCCTCACACACGAACTTGAAGACTCTGTCATTGTCAGCAGTCACGTGATTCCTGCCGGCTGACCTCAAATATCTGACGTGATCCAGGGGTCGATCCACGAGTTGAAGAAAACTCTGACGTGATCCAGGGGTCGATCCACGAGTTGAAGAAAACTCTGACGTGATCCAGGGGTCGATCCACGAGTTGAAGAAAACTCTGACGTGATCCAGGGGTCGATCCACGAGTTGAAGAAAACTCTGACGTGATCCAGGGGTCGATCCACGAGTTGAAGAAAACTCTGACGTGATCCAGGGGTCGATCCACGAGTTGAAGAAAACTCTGACGTGATCCAGGGGTCGATCCACGAGTTGAAGAAAACTCTGACGTGATCCAGGGGTCGATCCACGAGTTGAAGAAAACTCTGACGTGATCCAGGGGTCGATCCACGAGTTGAAGAAAACATTCAATGGATTCACATCAACACATTGAGAAACATTTGTTTTTGTGTCTTCATGTTTGTGTGTCTTCATGGTTGTGTGTTTTTGTGTCTTCATGTTTGTGTGTTGTGTCGGTGTATGAGTTCGCATATATATATATATATATATATATATATATATATATATATATATATATATATATATATATATATATATATATATATGTGTGTGTGTGTGTGTGTGTATGAGAATTGTGAGTGCTGGGGTGTGTAATCGCATGTTTATTTTTGTGACATTTCCCCTTTAACCTTTCCCCCGTTGACCCCTTTAACCTTTCCCCCGTTGACCCCTTTAACCTTTGACCTATGGCAGACAGCAAAGAAGAGTCTCTGATCTCTGACAGTGAGTCTCCCGGATGGATGATATACACAACTGTTGTCATTATAGCAATCCTCATCTTCGTGGGAATAGCATATGAGATCTACAAAAGGCTAAGGAATAGGTAGGCCAAAGGTCAAATTTGACGCCAAAAATAGAATAACAGGGCAGTGGCGGATTAAGGGGGGTGCTGAAAGGGCTGCAGCTACGGGCCCCCGATTTTTAGGGGCCCCCAAATTTACCATCTAATTGTAACTAGTAAAGGCATAAAAAAAAAACAAAAAAAAAAACCCCAAAAAAACCCATCTACATTGGTCAGAATACAATAGGATATCACATTACGTTTTTCCCCCAAATTTACATACCAGGTACAAGGGGGTGGAGGCGGAGGGAGGGGGGGAGGGCTTAATCGACCCATCGCCATCCACCTCAGGTAAAACAATCTCCAGGCGACCGTAGTTCTCTTCCCTGCACATAACAACTAGGTGTGAAACTAATGTCTACCTATAAAATACAGCATTTTCAAGTTGAGATGGGGAAGGGGGGGGGGTAACTCACTAGGCCTAACATCAACCGTGGCCTCAGTTGTAACAATAAACAATGGCGAACTTTGAACTTTAAGTTTTTTTCCAATTTAATTCAACTGTGAACTCTGTCCGACCCGTTAGGGTAATGGAAACTGGAACCTCTTTTGTTGAGCTTGGCATATCACCCCCCCCCACACACACACACACTTCCGGCATGTCCCCAAACTATATCTTCCTCCCCGAAATCCCATTCGGAATTACATTTGTTGAGTCAGTCATTCTTTTGGATTTATTCGCACGGAGTCTACTCAAGATTTCAAAAATTTTCTTGATTTCCAACCCTCCACCATTATCCAGGCTTCAGACTTTTCAGATAGACAAAGTAATCCTAAAGGCTCGTTCATCAGACCTATATGTCAAAAAATTGCTTGCTGCAGAAAAAACGACAATTTGCAATTTCAGCAAAGAGCCGGACTTTTAATTAGATTCAGCCTTGTTTTTTTTTAAAATTCTATTGAATATGTCTCGTAACTATCCTAGTGGAGCAAAAAAACGCGCATTATCGGTGAAAAAAAGAAAGATCGAAGCTGAGCTTGCTGAAAAAACTACAAAACTGCTCTCCTTTTTCAAACCAACTTCGAGTACCAAGGAAAATAGTCACGTAGAAAAGGGATCTGCAATTGAATCAGACACCGCCGGGGTAAAAGATGTAGAGCAGGCTCCTACTTTAAAACAATGTGATTTGAAAGATGATACAGCAAAACCCCTTGAAGATAGTCATGCTATATACGACCTTCATTTTTGGCCAGAGCGGGAAAAGATGTCAGAGGCATTTAGAAACTATTGGATTCAACGTGGTACCACACCATGCCAAAACAAAAACGGGGACTTTAAAGAATCGGTCATACAGTTAGAAAGAGAGTCACAACGTCGGTACTGCACCATTTCTTTATTCACACGTGTCCATGCACGAACAGGAGAAAAATTTGAAAGAAATTGGTTGTGTTATTCCAAAACAAGCGGGTGTGTTTATTGTTTTGTATGAATGTAAGCTGATGTCACCTATAACTAACAAAATGACATCAGGGTTCAAACAATGGAAAAGTGCCCATGAAGTGCTATCTAGGCATGAAAATTCCAAACAACACATTGATTCATTGGCAGCGCTGTGTTCACGAAAATCTACTGGTCAGATTGACATGAAACTTGTAACGCAATATGAAAGTGAAATTCAGTATTGGAGACAAGTACTTCACAGAATCGTGAGTGTGGTACAGTTTCTTTGTATTCGTGGTCTTCCGTTCCGGGGCAGAACTGAAGAGGTTGGTTCTCCAAACAATGGGAATTATCTCGGGTTGCTGGAGCTGTTAAGTCAGTACGATACCTTTCTCGCAGAACATATGCGGATACACGCCAACAAAGGACGTGGACATACATCCTACAAATCTTCAACAATATGTGAGGAGATGATTGAACTTATGGGTCAAAAGGTTTTGTCTGTAATTGTAGATGAAATAAAGACAGCGAAATATTTTTCTATATCTGTAGATTCGACTCCAGATGTTTCACATGTTGATCAACTCACAATCGTTATTCGCTATGTACAAGACACCGGACCTATTGAGCGCTTCTTAAAATTTGTACCAATGTTTTCACACTCTGGTTCGGAAATAGCTAATTTAATACTAACATTTTTGGAAGAAAATGGAATTGACATAAAAAATTGTCGCGGTCAATCATATGACAACGCGTCCAATATGAGCGGCAAGTATAACGGCGTTCGGGCTAAAATCCGGGAGAAGTGTGACGTAGCATTGTATGTACCGTGCACAGCACATTCACTCAATTTAGTTGGGAACTGCGCAGCTGAGTGCTGCCCCACGTCAGTTGGGTTTTTTAATCTCCTTCAGAGCCTTTACTCTTGGCTTTCTGCATCTACCCATCGTTGGCATATACACAACAAGCACATGAATGGATTGCCTGTTGCTAAAGCTTTGTCGGAAACCAGATGGTCCGCTCGACATGATGCTGTTAAGGCTTTAAATAGAGGGTATAAGGAAAATATATCGGCTTTGGAGGAGTTAGCAGCCGATGAAAATCAACCTCTTAAATGTAGAGCTGAAGCTGAAGGATATCTTAAAAGTTTACAAAAACTAGAAACAGTAATATTATTGGAGGTATGGGATACAATTTTAGAGAGATTGCAAAAAACAAATGTATCTCTTCAAGAAAAAGGTTTATCTCTTAATACAGCAGTTAATTTGTTAAAATCTGTTCTCCTTTTTATTGAAAGTCAACGTAATGAATTCGCTAGCTTCGAATCAAAAGGAAAAATTAAATGTGAAGTCAAAGACTACACATATTCCAACAGACGACCACTAAAGAGGAAGCAACAATTTGACGAAAGCAAAGTTTCAGAAATGCAACTTTCTCCTAGAGAAAAATTTAAGACTGAAGTATTCATCTGTGTGATCGACCACCTAACTACAGCTCTACATCATCGCTTAGATTCCTATAAAACTGTTCAAGAAATGTTCGATTTCTTCAGTGACCTGACCAACCTTAGCACTGGTGACATTACAGGAGCAGCTACAAAACTAATCAACAAATATCCCGATGATTTTGAAGAATGTTTTTCATCGGAGTTGATTCAATTCGCCGAGCTGTTTAAATCAATTCATGGGGGAAAAGAGCAAAACGTCTACAATGATATCATTGAATTAGAAATGTTGATGTTTTTAAATAGATTCAAGTGCATTCAGAGCTTTCCAAATGTGCACATTGCTCTTCGAATTTATCTGTGTATGATGACGTCTAACTGCAGTGGAGAGCGCTCATTTTCCAAAATGAAAAAGATTAAAAGCGATCTTAGAAGCACTATGGGACAGCAGAGACTTAGTATGCTCTCACTTATGAGCATAGAAAATGACATTGTAAGCTCACTAAATTATACAGAACTAATAGAAGAGTTTGCTATCAGGAAAGCTCGAAAATGTTCCCTATAAAAGTTACTTGGTCTTTAGTTCTAAATAAAAATAACTGTAATAAATGTAAGTATTCATAATTTCTTTTGCATTAGTAAATAAATAATTGTCACTTTAAATGCTCTTAAGTCTCAATGTAATTTAACATTACATTTAATGTAACATTTTTTGTATATGCCATGGCTTCTGTTAACATTTAGCTTATTCCATTCAACCTTTATTTTTTGGAAAGGCCTCTGTTTTGTGATGTCATTATATAAACTACATATATATATATATATATATATATATATATATATATATATAGTTTAGGGGGCCCCGGAAAAAGTTTCAGCCAGGGGCCCCGCAGAAGCTTAATCCGCCCCTGTAACAGGGTCGCTTCGTGTCGTGATGGTCACTATTTTTAGGCATTTCTTGGGGGGGGGGGGGGGGTGCATACAAAATGTGGCGGAGGGGGAGGGGTGCATACCTATGTAGGAGGGAGAGGGGTGCATACAAAATGTGGGGGGAGGGGTGCATATAAAATGTGGGGGGGGGGGAGGGGTGCATACAAAATGTACATAGAAAATATATACTTTTACCTGTGCCCTCTCTCCCGCCCCCCGCTCTAGAGTATTTAGTCCAGACCCCCCAACCTCATATGTTTCAAATGTACCTTGACATAATCCACCACCCTGCCATAATCCACCACCCTGCCATAATCCACCACCCTGCCATAATCCACCACCCTGCCATAATCCACCAAAACTAACATAATCCACCACCCTGACATAATCCACCACCCTGACATAATCCACCACCCTGACATAATCCACCACCCTGCCATAATCCACCACCCTGACATAATCCACCACCCTGCCATAATCCACCACCCTGACATAATCCACCACCCTGCCATAATCCACCACCCTGCCATAATCCACCACCCTGCCATAATCCACCACCCTGCCATAATCCACCAAAATTGACATAATCCACCACCTTGACATAATCCACCACCCTGCCATAATCCACCACCCTGCCATAATCCACCACCCTGCCATAATCCACCACCCTGCCATAATCCACCACCCTGACATAATCCACCACCCTGACATAATCCACCACCCTGCCATAATCCACCACCCTGCCATAATCCACCACCCTGCCATAATCCACCACCCTGACATAATCCACCACCCTGCCATAATCCACCACCTTGACATAATCCACCACCCTGCCATAATCCACCACCCTGCCATAATCCACCAAAACTAACATAATCCACCACCCTGACATAATCCACCACCCTGCCATAATCCACCATCCTGCCATAATCCACCACCCTGACATAATCCACCACCATGACATAATCCACCACCCTGCCATAATCCACCACCCTGCCATAATCCACCACCCTGCCATAATCCACCACCCTGCCATAATCCACCACCCTGCCATAATCCACCACCCTGCCACACCCTGACATAATCCACCACGCTGACATAATCCACCACCCTGCCATAATCCACCAAAATTGACATAATCCACCATCCTGCCATAATCCACCACCCTGACATAATCCACCACCCTGACATAATCCACCACCCTGACATAATCCACCACCCTGCCATAATCCACCACCCTGCCACACCCTGACATAATCCACCACGCTGACATAATCCACAACCCTGCCATAATCCACCAAAATTGACATAATCCACCATCCTGCCATAATCCACCACCCTGCCATAATCCACCACCCTGCCATAATCCACCACCCTGCCATAATCCACCACCCTGACATAATCCACCACCCTAACATATCCACCACCCTGCCATAATCCACCACCCTGCCATAATCCACCACCTTGCCATAATCCACCACCCTGACATAATCCACCAAAATTGACATAATCCACCACCCTGCCATAATCCACCACCCTGACATAATCCACCACCCTGAAATAATCCACCACCCTGCCATAATCCACCACCCTGCCATAATCCACCACCCTGCCATAATCCACCACCCTGACATAATCCACCACCCTGCCATAATCCACCACCCTGCCATAATCCACCACCCTGCCGTAATCCACCACCCTGCCATAATCCACCACCCTGCCATAATCCACCACCCTGACATAATCCACCACCCTGCCATAATCCACCACCCTGCCATAATCCACCACCCTGCCATAATCTACCACCCTGCCATAATCCACCACCCTGCCATAATCCACCACCCTGCCATAATCCACCAAAATTGATATAATCCACCACCCTGACATAATCCACCACCCTGCCATAATCCACCACCCTGCCATAATCCACCACCCTGACATAATCCACCACCCTGCCATAATCCACCACCCTGCCATAATCCACCAAAATTGACATAATCCACCACCCTGCCATAATCCACCACCCTGACATAATCCACCACCCTGCCATAATCCACCACCCTGCCATAATCCACCACCCTGCCATAATCCACCACCCTGCCATAATCCACCACCCTGCCATAATCCACCACCCTGCCATAATCCACCACCCTGCCATAATCCACCACCCTGCCATAATCTACCACCCTGCCATAATCTACCACCCTGCCATAATCCACCACCCTGACATAATCCACCACCCTGCCATAATCCACCACCCTGCCATAATCCACCACCCTGACATAATCCACCACCCTGCCATAATCCACCACCCTGCCATAATCCACCACCCTGCCATAATCCACCACCCTGTCATAATCCACCACCCTGCCATAATCCACCACCCTGCCATAATCCACCACCCTGCCATAATCCACCACCCTGCCATAATCCACCACCCTGCCATAATCCACCACCCTGACATAATCCACCACCCTGCCATAATCCACCACCTTGACATAATCCACCACCCTGCCATAATCCACCACCTTGACATAATTCACCACCCTGAAATAACCCACCACCCTAACATAATCCACCACCCTGCCATAATCCACCACCCTGCCATAATTCACCACCCTGACATAATCCACCAAAATTGACATAATCCACCACCCTGCCATAATTCACCACCCTGACATAATCCACCAAAATTGACATAATCCACCACCCTGCCATAATTCACCACCCTGCCATAATCCACCACCCTAACATAATCCACCACCCTGCCATAATCCACCACCCTGTCATAATCCACCACCCTGACATAATCCACCACCCTGACATAATCCACCACGCTGACATAATCCACCACCCTGCCATAATCCACCACCCTGCCATAATCCACCACCCTGACATAATCCACCAAAATTGACATAATCCACCACCCTGCCATAATCCACCACCCTGCCATAATCCACCACCCTGACATAATCCACCAAAATTGACATAATCCACCACCCTGCCATAATCCACCATCCTGCCATAATCCACCACCCTGACATAATCCACCACCCTGCCATAATCCACCACCCTGACATAATCCACCACCCTGAAATAATCCACCACCCTGCCATAATCCACCACCCTGCCATAATCCACCACCCTGCCATAATCCACCACCCTGCCATAATCCACCACCCTGACATAATCCACCAAAACTAACATAATCCACCACCCTGCCATAATCCACCACCCTGCCATAATCCACCACACTGCCATAATCCACCAAAACTAACATAATCCACCACCCTGACATAATCCACCACCCTGCCATAATCCACCTTGCAGTCTCCAAGGCAGATCTGTCGGCTCCATGTTCAATAAAAAAGGCGATGATGACGACGACAGTGACGATGAAGACGCCTCTGTGGCCCCGTCTCGTTCGACCAGCAAACAAAAGACGTAGGACATCAACCTATAGGACATCAACCTGTAGGACATCAACCTATAGGACATCAACCTGTAGGACATCAACCTGTAGGACATCAACCTGTAGGACATCAACCTGTAGGACATCAACCTGTAGGACATCATCCTGTAGGACATCAACCTATAGGACATCAACCTGTAGGACATCAACCTATAGGACATCAACCTGTAGGACATCAACCTGTAGGACATCAACCTGTAGGACATCAATCTGTAGGACATCAACCTGTAGGACATCATCCTGTAGGACATCAACCTGTAGGACATCATCCTGTAGGACATCAACCTGTAGGACATCAACCTGTAGGACATCAACCTGTAGGACATCAACCTGTAAGATATCAACCTATAGGACATCAACCTGTAGGACATCAACCTGTAGGACATCAACCTGTAGGACATAAACCTGTAGGCCATCAACCTGTAGGACATCAATCTGTAGGACATCAATCTGTAGGACATCATCCTGTAGGACATCAACCTGTAGGACATCAACCTGTAGGACATCAATCTGTAGGACATCAATCTGTAGGACATCAACCTATAGGACATCAACCTGTAGGACATCAACCTGTAGGACATCAATCTGTAGGACATCAACCTGTAGGACATCAACCTGTAGGACATCAACCTGTAGGACATCAACCTGTAGGATATCAACCTGTAGGATATCAACCTGCAGGACATCAACCTGCAGGACATCAACCTGTAGGACATCAACCTGTAGGACATCAACCTGTAGGACATCAACCTGTAGGACATCAACCTGTAGGACATCAACCTGTAGGACATCAACCTGTAGGATGTTCTTGTGTGAGCCATGTTTGTTTAGGACATCCTTCTAAAGGACATCCACTTCTCACGTAGGATATACATACATATATATATACATGTTGACATCCACTTCTCTCGTAGGATATACATACATATATATATACATGTTGACATCCACTTCTCTCGTAGGATATACATACATATATATATACATGTTGACATCCACTTCTCACGTAGGATATACATACATATATATATATATATATACATGTTGACATCCACTTCTCCCGTAGGATATACATACATATATATACATGTTGACATCCACTTCTCCCGTAGGATATACATACATATATATACATGTTGACATCCACTTCTCACGTAGGATATACATACATATATATACATGTTGACATCCACTTCTCTCGTAGGATATACATACATATATATACATGTTGACATCCACTTCTCACGTAGGATATACATACATATATATACATGTTGACATCCACTTCTCTCGTAGGATATACATACATATATATACATGTTGACATCCACTTCTCACGTAGGATATACATACATATATATACATGTTGACATCCACTTCTCACGTAGGATATACATACATATATATATACATGTTGACATCCACTTCTCCCGTAGGATATACATACATATATATACATGTATACATCCACTTCTGTTGTCCTGGAACTTTTCGAGGTCCTGGTCCCCCCCCCCCCCCCCCAATCGTTAGGTCACATGATCAGATGTTTGACATGTGTAGACCAGTCTGCTAATAAAATCCACAAAGATTACAGAATGTGTTCAAGTCAGTTTTGTTCCCTCTGTGTAAGACGTTAAAGATGGGGTGAGGGTTAGGGTGGGGGATGTGGGTGTGGGTGGTTACGGTTACGGTAATTTGCAAAAGTGACAAACCACGCTATTACGTTATCTGGTTAACGTCTGGTTAACGTCTGGTTAAGATCCGGTACAGTCGGGATATTTTTTAAAATCAATTTTCAAAATTTAAATTAAAAAAAAAAATACAATAGAACCTCGAGGAGAAAAAAAAAGAATTGCGAATGAACAGCAAATACTCTGTGTAAAATAGTGCGGAACAATATTACTTTATAAAGAAATACAGAGGAATCAAGTTAAAAATAAATTCAAATGCGATTTTTGAGAAATCAGAAAAAGGGTAAAGTACTACTTCCGGTGACTGAAAATTACTTTGTCAGAAAACAGAGAAGTAGATCTTTTACTAATATGTGACATCTTCTTTCTAACTAAAACAGTGCTTAACTCTTAGGCTTTTGAAAAACCGAGAATAGAATACGCCCCACTTCCGGTTACCGGAAATCGCTGAAAAGTTGATCCAGAACACAAATTTGATATAATACTTATATATGAAATTTCTTCAACGTAGCTGTAACGGTACTCAAGTTATCGTGTTCACAGAAAGACAGACACACACACATACAGACACACATACAGACAAAATCCAAGAGTTTTTCCTACTCAGGGTGGTGTAAAACTTCGAGATTTTTTGTACAATTGTAATATTTCCTCTATACTTCGTTTACGAGACAGTAAAAAGCAAAGATTTGGTTTTAAAAACAGATTTATGGTCTGACTACGGGAGCCAATCAAATTCTAGCTGATTTAACACAGGAAGGCGAACATGGAGTAACTCATGTTTATTTACGAAACAATTCATTTAATAATGACTAGTGTGTGCTCTCCACCTGATTGAAGGTCACCGACTGAAGGTCACTGACTGAAGGTCACTGACCCCAAGGTTATGGACCACACTGCCACTCGACTGGGAGATCTAGCAGGGGAAGTCAGTCAGTTTTTATTTGTCCGCTTCTGTCTCCTCGGTTGGTTCCCCTTTTTTGGTTTTGATTTTCTCCACAATGTTGAGGAACCTGCGCAGTTTTTCTTCGCTCATCCCGGAAGTGGGGGTCTGTGTGGGTGGTGTGGGTGGTGTGGTATGTGTGGGTGGTGTGGTCAGTGGATGGGTGTCGATACTAGAGATGACTAGACCGTCAGACTGTAGGGTGTGGCCAGCCCTGGGGGTCAGTAGGTCAAGGCCGGAGTGGGGGTCATTGCACGTGCAGGTACACAGAGCAGAGCTGCACGTGCCACTGTCAAGGTCACATCTGTGATAACAGAAGGTCACCAGCCTCGATGAAGGTCGTGTAGGGCCGCAGGTCAGCTGAAGGTCATTGTGACACACTGACCTTGACACAGACTGCCAGCCTTGACCGTCCTGAGGGTCAAACAAACTGTTGACCTGGTTAGGTGAACTTTCAACTTTAGCGTGACCTTGACCTGAATCTCGACCTTGACCTGAATTCAGCATGAGGTTATGGCGATCTGTAGGGTCAGGGTGTATGAGATTGCTAGCTCGGGTTTCGTGCCCGGGGGTGGCGGGGTGTTGGAGGCCTGGTCCGGCGCCCTCTACTTGCCGGTGAGCGTTGCCGTGATGCTGGGCAAGGTTTTGTGCTGAGTGAGCCGTCAAAAGGTTGGCTAGAGCATTCTGTAGCAAGCCCATCATCTGTGGGCTGACTGTGCTAGACAGGCTTGGCGAGGCTTGTCTCTTGCTTAAGTAGGAGGCGTCCACAACAGTAGGGGGCGCTAGGGTAGCTGGGGGCGGGTGGGGCGGGAGTGTTAAGGTAATTGGGGCTTGGTGGGGTGGGGGCGTTAATGTAATTGGGGCTTGGTGGAGTGGGGGCGTTAATGTAATTGGGGCTTGGTAGGGTGGGGGCGTTAATGTAATTGGGGCTTGGTGGAGTGGGGGCGTTAATGTAATTGGGGCTTGGTGGAGAGGGGGCGTTAATGTAATTGGGGCTTGGTAGGGTGGGGGCGTTAATGTAATTGGGGCTTGGTGGAGTGGGGGCGTTAATGTAATTGGGGCTTGGTGGAGTGGGGGCGTTAATGTAATTGGGGCTTGGTGGAGAGGGGGCGTTAATGTAATTGGGGCTTGGTAGGGTGGGGGCGTTAATGTAATTGGGGCTTGGTGGAGTGGGGGCGTTAATGTAATTGGGGCTTGGTGGAGAGGGGGCGTTAATGTAATTGGGGCTTGGTAGGGTGGGGGCGTTAATGTAATTGGGGCTTGGTAGGGTGGGGGCGTTAATGTAATTGGGGCTTGGTGGAGTGGGGGCGTTAATGTAATTGGGGTTTGGTGGAGAGGGGGCGTTAATGTAATTGGGGCTTGGTGGGGTGGGGGCGCTAGGGTAACTTGGGCTGCGCTTGGACTTGTGATCTGTGGAGGGAGCGGGGTGGTGCCGCCCCCGGGGAGCGGGGTGGTGCTGCCCCCAGGGAGCGGGGTGGTGCCGCCCCCCGTGCCGCCCGAGTTTAACGAGGTGACGATGTAGGACCAGAACTGCGCCACGTCACGTGCTCTGGCGCTCGTGCTGTTAAATAGCACGTGAGGCAGCTCGGCTGATGACGTAGTTGTCGTGATGGGATGACCTTTAAAGTGGTAGTTCAAGGTCAAGTACTTGCTGGAATACAGCGAGGTGAGGCTGTGGGAGGGTGTTGTGTGAGGGGCAAACGTGGTGGGTGGGTGTGTTGTCGGTGTCAACGTGACCTTTGAAACGTATTTCACTTGTGTGCTGACCTCCGTGACCTTTGACCTTTGCGTTGTTCCTTGTTCAGAATTTATTTGTGACGTCTGCCCCGAGCTGACCTCTGACGTCAGCTGTGACGTCACGTGTGGCAGGTGCTGTAGCAGGCTGGACACGAGTGACCGCAGGACGCTGGCCGGGATGGTCTGGTACTGGGGACCCAGCACGTGCAAGTACTGGTCAGTCTGACGCGACTCTAGTGACGTCACAGGACTGTGATAAGCGGGAAGGGGCTGCGGGGGTGTGTCGTGTGACGTCACCAATGGCTGCTGTGACGTCATGAAGCTGGCTGTATGGCTGTCGATGGCAGGTGACGTCACATCTCGCACGGGTGTTGAGGTCACGTGAGTTGTACCTCTTGCGTCAGGTGATTTAGAACGTTTTTTGAACTTGGCCATGATGTAATCGACCGTCTGGCCGGCCACTGTGGGGAACGACCCACGGGGCAACATCCAGACAAACTTGAGCACGGCCTGCATCGTTTCCTGGCCAACATGGCGCTTTCTGACCCGTCCCTTGACCCCTCGCTTGACCCGTCCCTTGACCCGTCTCTTGACCCCGGGCTCTCCCAACTGCCTGATAACTTGCTCGGAATTTTTCAAATTTTTGGCTAAGTTCCAAACACGAGGGTAATCTTGACCTTTCTCAAGGTCGTGCTGTGGTGACTGTTGACCTTTCTCAAGGTCATGCTGTGGTGACTGTTGACCTTTCTCAAGGTCGTGCTGTGGTGACTGTTGACCTTTCTCAATGTTGTGCTGTGGTGACTGTGGTTCTAAACAGTTGCTGTCGTCACAATGACGTGTGGCCAGTTTTTTCCGTATTGTGGTCCTACAAGCCAGTTTGTGTCGATGTGGCTGCAGCTTCTTGCACGCGAGGTGTGAGCGCTTGATGTGGTGTTCGCGTGAGTTGATCTGACACCGGCTTTTGGCCCGGGGGTCGGGCAGACTCTGGCAGACGAGAAACTTGAGCTCCCTGAGCTCCCTGAGCTGCTGTACCACAGCTACATGTTTGACGACTTCCAGACTTTTCATCTCGGTCTTCGGTTGTGGGGGGTTATGTGACGTCATATGTCCCCCGACCTTGACCTTCCGTTTGACCCGCTGCCCGTGAGTGCCGACGAAGCCACCCAGCAGGTCACGGACCAGCACGGTCGGGCCGTGGTCCAGCCGCTCGTACAGCTCGGCCACCTGGGGGTCGGGCAGCAGGGGGTCGGGCAGCAGGGTGTAGCTCCGGGGGTCAGAGAGGAGCGTCTCGATCAGAAAACTCCGGAACTCCTCCACCTTGCTGCCGGGCGACGTCTGCTGGCTCCTGCTGATATTGATGGCCGCCAGAATACTATGTAGGTCAAGGCCGGTGAGTCGGGCGATCTGTGACTGGGGCAGGGACCAGCTCATGTACAGGGACGGTTCCAGGGGAGCGGATGTGTTGTAGAGTTGTGTGGTTGGTGGTAGTGGCGGCCGTGTGGTTGGTGGTGGTGGCGTCCGTGTGGTTGGTGGTCGTGGCGGCCGTGTGGTTGGTGGTGTTTTCGGTGTGGTTGGTGATGATGATGGTGTTCTGGTCGTGGATGTTGTGCTGGTGTGTGGTGGAGTTGTCCCCCTTGCCTCAGACAGACGAGTTGTGTCCCCTCGTCTTGCGGTCAGTGACCTTCTAATCACCTGCATAAAGGCCGCCATCTTGATTGGGTGGTCCGCTATATCGTCGGGTACAATGATTGTGGTGTTCATAAAGTTGATTGTTGTATGTGATTTTTGTGTTGGGGCGCTCTGTACGGGGGTGTTGTGTACGGGGGTGTTGTGTACGGGGTTGTTGTTTACGGGGGTGTTGGTGTTGTGTACGGGGGTGTTGTGTACGGGGGTGTTGGTGTTGTGTACGGGTGTAATGTGTGCGGGGGTGTTGTGTACGGGTGTTTTGTGTACGGGGGTGTTGGTGTTGTGTACGGCTGTTTTGTGTACGGGGGTGTTGTGTGCGGGGGTGTTGTGTGCGGGGGTGTTTATTATTTGTTGCACTGGAGCGTCTGCTGCAACCTGTGACCTTGACCCCATCCATGGGTAGGTGTTGGTGTGGCCGGGTCTGACCCCTGAACCCACCTGACTGTATTGGTGATCGAACCCTGATCTACCAATGGTCGGCTGTTGCCATGGTGACGGCTGTTGTGGCTGTCTTTGTTGGAAGCTGCTGGCTGTTGCTTGCAGCTGTGCACGTTGCCATGGTGACGGCTGTTGTTCCAGCGATGGTAAAGCGCGGGGAAATTGTGGACCTTTGCTGTTAGCCAGCCTATCTCTGCCAGGCTGGACGCCTTGCCGGAAACTCCCGGTTACCGGCTCTCTGACTGTGTTTTGATTGGCCGAAAGTGTTCCTGTTCCGTCTAGCCAGTCATGGTGAGGAATATTTCTTCCGGTCATGTGACCTTTGGGGGTAGAAAACCGGTAGCTTTGTGGTCTGTGTGGTGCATCGTCTGTGGGCCGGTAACTTTGTGGCCTGTGCTCCTGTGGCCTGTGCTCCTGTGGCCTGTGCTCCTGTGGCCTGTGCTCCTGTGGCCTGTGCTCCTGTGGCCTGTGCTCCTGTGGCCTGTGCTCCTGTGGCCTGTGCTCCTGTGGCCTGTGCTCCTGTGGCCTGTGCTCCTGTGCTCTGTGCTCCTGTGGCCTGTGCTCCTGTGGCCTGTGCTCCTGTGGCCTGTGCTCCTGTGGCCTGTGCTCCTGTGGCCTGTGCTCCTGTGGTCTGTGCTCCTGTGGCCTGTGCTCCTGTGGCCTGTGCTCCTGTGGCCTGTGCTCCTGTGGCCTGTGCTCCTGTGGCATGTGCTCCTGTGGTCTGTGCTCCTGTGGCCTGTGCTCCTGTGGCCTGCCGATGACGTCACTGTGTGTTTTATAGTTGGCCTTGCTGGGGCGCTCAACATTGCTTCTGGCACTAGGTCGATGTAGGGGGTCAAGGTCGAGGTGTGGGTCAAGGTCGAGGTGTGGGTCAAGGTCGAGACGTGGGTCAGGGTTGGTGTGTGGGTCGTTGTGGTTGTGCTGATCCACGGAGTAGTGATGTGGGCCGCTGGCTCTATCAACGGGGTCATTGACCTGACCCATGTGACCCGACCAACCATGAGGGCCGAGACGCGGCATGACGTAATCGTCACGTGATACGTGTCTGACCTGCGTCACTCCTCGCACCTGGTAGTTTGTGACGTCACCTCCAACTCCCGATATGACGTCATTTCCTCTCCTGGAGCTTCTCTGTGAACTAGGAAACCGGAAATTGCCGGCATTGTCAGACTGTCGTGCCGGTCTTTCTGCCGTGCCGGTCTTTGACCTGACCAGCTCGGTCACCAGCAGCTCCTGAAACTCAGCCGTGAAGCCGGTCCTGCCGTACGTGACCTTTAACCTCTCCCGCACAGCTGG